TGTTGAAATATTGCAAAAGAAGATATAAAAATTAAAATGCTAAAATTCAGAATGTAAAGTTAATAAACTAAATAAATACGGAACAATAGTGGATAACATTATCAGAACTTACTATCATCACCTGCGTATAAAAAGTTGAAAATTATGATTTGTCTTTTGCGGTCTGTGTCCCGTATTTGTTTAGTTATACGATAAATTAATAAGTTAAAAGTCATTTTTGGTGTTTAGCTAATCCGAAGTTCGAGCCCCTCGAAGCGCTGGTCCAGTATGCGGACAACTTCGATAACACGACAGCTACATCAGGACTCAACGGGCTCAGTCGTCGTAGGCGATGGTAAATGATGTTTTACGATCGCATTAATAAGGCTTCAAACCAGATTACACTAGTATAAAAATCCTTGCGAGGACTAATATTCTTACTAATGCAATTGTAGTATAAACACTAATGATTGGAAATGAAACTATTTTTTGTTCGGATTTAAAACTGCGCTTTTTTAAAACATGTCTGCCTTGACTATGGGACCTGTAAGGGCGCTTTTAAATTAGACGCTTGTAGAAGTTGCAGTGGTGCGTCTGTGGCGCTGCATCTGACTGCAGCGCGACTGAATTAGCAGCTGCAGCGACTAATTTTCATACAACATTAATCTGCAAAAGTAGCTCGCACCTAGCGGTACTGTAGTGCTGTAGTTGTGCTTCTAAATATTGTATGAAAATGTATAGAAACGTGGCTGCTGCGCCACAGGCGCACTCCTGCAGCGCTTCTATAAGCGTCTAATTTAAAGGCGCCCTTACACGTCCCGTAGTCAAGGCTTTGTCATTGGTTTATTTGAGAAAACAATTATACGCGATTTAAATCCGCGGAAATTGTTTAATTTAATATGTGTAACAATCGCGAAAACCTAAGAACTCGATAAGGTATTTAAATTGATAACTTTTGTAATTATAGTGAAAGATGGGGTGGTTTGCATTGATATTAGAACCTTAACTGGTTGTTGACATCACTGTCAGATGTGGCCATGGGACCGTTAAGGGCCTGAAACGTTATTTTGTTTTTAAAAACAAATATGCGCGATTTTAAATCCGTAAAAAGTTTTATTCCTAATGTGTAGCAATCACGAAAATCCACAACTCTCAGAACTCGATAAACAAATCTATAGTAATATAACAGTATCAATTGCTCATAATAAATATAATCTTCTTCAGTCTGAGGTAGGTATATACTAAATCTATGTATGTATATATTGATACACGGTGCCTATAAAAAATATTATATATTGATATGATATTACAACCGGTTGTTATAGAACAGCATAACTGTTGACATGGACCCTTTCTAAATGACATACATTATTATTTTCAGATTCACTGGAAGACCTCAACGACGAACCAACGCTGCTGGATGATATAATAGCTGCTATTGTAGACTTCTTTCAAGTCATAGTCAGGTATGGTTTTGATTTACTTATTTCTTACTTCCATAAATATAGAGGCGTTATAAACCCCCTCTCTATATATTTGTAAAAGTAAAGATGTTAAAGTTTACTCCGAAAAGCTGTAGTTATATGTTTTGCTTACTCCTTTTGACTTTTTCTGGTAATTTCTGTTGAAATATAATGCTGGTTAGAATAAAATCCTTGTAAAGGGCCTGGAACGTCGGTTTGTTTAAAAAAACAAATATACGCGATTTAAATCCGGAAAAATAGTTTCATTTCCTATGTGTAACAATCGCGAAAACCTAAGAACTCGATAATAAAATCCTTGTCATAACTAACGTTGTATGTCGTTGAAAATGTACCTAAAACTACACTTTACTTAAAAGTTCATATTACATGTGCATGAAAATTTATAATACAACAAATTGAAATAAAATATCCGACATTGAAAAGAATGACTTTTGAATTGTATAAATACCAAGTTAAAAAAGGATATTATAGAGTAAATGACTTCCTAGAAGATTACATTTTGCATGCTTTTTATAAGGGCTGAATAGATGAACTCTAATGTCATAACTACCATCCTGTAAAAAACCTATTCAATGCAAATAAAGCTCATTTCATTTCATTACAATTTATAAGTTTTTTATTGACTGTCACGATGTTTCACTATGATATTCAATTATTTTTGTGAAATTACTTCACTAGTTTGTTATAATTATTAATACAAAGACCGAACACTCAGAAAAAAATCCTTCGATCTGGCTGGATTCGAACCAGCGCCTTCGAGCAAACTATGCTAGACGCTATGCCAATAAAGCCACGAGCGAACGAACCAACGGACCTTACCAATTTTTCAATGTACTTGTTGCAGCTCTTTGTTTTTGGTTGTTAACGACTTTTTTGCGGTAGCGTAACTCACGTTATGGACATTCTTAGCGAAATTAAGTTATTAACATAACAGTCATTACATCACATACTTTGCTCCGATCCCATAGTAAGTAACTAAAGCACTTGCATTATGGAAATCGGAAACAATGACGGTACACAGACCCGAGACAATATTGAAAAGTTATGACAAGGAGGGCATAATGCTGGCCATCAAATGTATTTTATATGTCTAACCGCTAATAAAAAAAATATTATTTTACAATATTATTATTATTTATTGTGGTTTTAATCTCTAAAGCGTGAAACATACAGAGAGCGGGTGTGGATCGGGCGCGGGTCCCGCCCGCACCCGCTTTCTGTGTTTCACGCTTTAATGTTTTGGGTCTGAGCAAGTCGGTACACTCGGTGCTTTTAAATTACAGGTCATCGTACATAGCGACGACCATAACAATGATGGCGTGGAGCATAATGTTCCATTCGTGGGTAACTTTTGTGTTCCTTATGTGGGCCAACATCGTATGGCTTTGCCAGGACCAGCGCTCGTTCATGTTGAAGACCAGTCCGGTTCTCGTCATCTACGCCATGCTGTTGCTTATTGCTCAGTACATATATGGCATGAACCTCACTACTGATGAATTACCGTCTAACGTTACGGTAAGTGCTCACATTCGTTTCACGGAAAATTATATTTATATTTTGATTCATCTGATTAATTGTTTATATTTTTGTAGGATGTGAACCTCCAGCAAATCGGACTCGGTCGGATAGAGTCGGGCGAGCCGTGTGTGCCGTTGTTAATAAAGTCGCTGTTTACGTGCATGTTTTGGGTGACGCTACGCCAGCGGGTACAGGAGTTGCGTCAGCGGCGGCAATCGGCTACTGCCGCCGACATGGCCGCGCCATTGCAGCTCACTGTCTCTACTGCCGCAACTGGTAATATTTTTGGTTGCTATTGTTCACACTTTAATTGCCTTGGGGCGAGCAAGAGATTTGTGACAAGATATTGAAGTTTTCTTATGCGTTATTTAGGTATCAAAAGTAGTTACCTTAAACGCTTTATCGACCGCATACATTGGTTATGAAGCAACCAATTTAAGATACAAAATATTTAGGAAATGAAATCAATCAAACAAGTTTGAAAAAACAAATATACGCGTTTAACACCGGAAAAATAGTTTCATTTCCTGTGTGTAACAATTGCGAAAACCTAAGAAATCGATATACAAAATATTTTTTTGAAGGAATTCACCATACATTGAACGTGTATTTAAAGCACAAAACAGATGCATACGGTCTATTTGTGGCCTGAAAAAAAAACGGACAGTTGCCAACTACATTTTAATAAGCTGCTTCGAAGGTCTATAATAAACTCCCGATTGAAATAGGAAATTGCAATGATGCTACAGAGTTTAAGACAAGTTTATTTAATCACCTCAATGAAATGTCATTCTACAATATTAGAGATTTCGTTTAAAATTGACATTGTATATAGTTTGTTTTTTTTTAGTTTATGCATGAAAACAGTATGCAAATTATTGAATGAGTATGTATATATAAAGATATGAAATTTTGTATTCCGCAAAACCGATCTTAGTGGTTCAATAAGAAGTTTTATAACACGTTTTGTAACCTGTGTTTCACAAAGAAATAAATGAATTTGAATGTGAAGAGAGCGCAGTGCACTAATCACCAACGTTCCCTTCCCGCTCCACCACTGTAGAATTGGTTGAAAGTGTGCTTCTCTCTCATATCACAGACCAATCAAGAACTGAGCTATGTATAGAGTTCTTAGGTTTTCGCGATTGTTACACATAGGAAATGAAACTATTTTTCCGGATTTAAATCGCGTATATTTGTTTTTTCAAACAAACCGACGTTTCGGGCCCTTTATAAGTCCCATGGTCACGGTTGACTGAGGTTGTACAGTCCTCAACCAGTTATGTCTAATATTGATGCAAACCACCCTATTTTTTCACTATAGTTACAATAGTTATTAATTAAATACCTTATTTTAATTTTACAAAGAAAACATTCCAATTTACGCTACATTAAGTTTTACAAATTATTTTATTGAATGAATTTTTATTAAGTTCAATTTATTATTAATTAATAATAGAAATTAGAATAAACTAAAACATATTAATTAGTACTGCAGTCTTATGTCTGTTTGGGATTTTTCATTAGAGGAAATACTGGATCCCAAACTGGTGGTACGGAGAAACCATCTTCTCTGTTGAAATGAGGATGTTTTTTAATTTCAATGGCCTCTCGCAGCATCCTGGGTAGATAGCGGACTTCTTTTGCAAGGAATGGTTTGTCAAACTTCATTGAATTTGTAGGTTTATCCATGACATGCTCGCAGACTGCAAACTTGTTTACGCGACGATGTTTGACATCAGCTATATGTTCTTTGACGCGGGTACAAATACTTCGCTTTGTTTGTCCAATATAAGAGAGACCGCACTCACAGTCAAGCTTGTAAATTCCTGCATCCTGTAAGGGGATGTTACATTTCACGGGTCTCAGGAACTGAGAAATCTTCCTCAGTGGCTTGAAATAGGTCTTAATAGATGCACGCCTGAGGACTCTTCCGATCTTGTCTGTAACACCTCTCACGTAAGAACGAAACGTCGGTTTGTTTGAAAAAACAAATATACGCGATTTAAATCCGGAAAAATAGTTTCATTTCCTAACTGAGCTATGGTCAAATAACAGAACATTCGCTTTTACTTTTTCATATCACTGAATATCCACAACTAATTTAGCTTCCATGCTATTTGTGACAGGTCTCGCCAATGGTAATACGTCTTTATTAACAACGCGTTGCTATTCTCTAGCTTCCTTCTTATTCTTCACAGCCACATACAATAACAAAAATATGAATTTTTAACATATCCACACGGTTCATATAAAATCCTTTTACGAGCATCTTAAAAACAACAATCACATCCATATTTTCATCTGATTTTGATTTCTTCTGGAATCTAAAATTCACTTCACGTAAAACAAACTCTCTCTCTCTCTAAAACAAATTCACGGTTAAAGGATATTCACAATTGGAGCACTAACTTCCTTCCATTGACAAGCTAATTAACATTTTTTCGCATTCAGCTATGGAAGTCCAAAAGGAGGAGGAGAGCAAATCTCGTTTGTTACGTGCACTCGGTCAATTTCTACGAAGCGCCTGCGCAAGATACTGGATCTACGTGGTGGTGATCATGCTGTTTGTCATCGGCATCACCGGAGATCGGATGACAATATTCCGAATCATATACATGTTCCTGTTCCTTGCATTTATATTGATGTTCCAGGTATGCAAATCGACTGTGAACTGGCAATCGGTACTATCTCAATTTTGACAACTTTACAGGTGAAGAAAAAATTGTTTGCGTCATTTATATACCATCTGATTTATTAATAAAAATACGTAGTTTTTAAATATTTTTATTGCACATACACTACGTATTTTTATTTAATTAACCAAATGCTATATAAATGACGCAAACAATTGTTTTCTGCATCGTGTTGCCAGTTCACAGTCGAAATGTCACTTTTTGTTAGGGTGATCATTCCGAAATTTGAATAATCCGGACTGAAACAAAATACAAAAACAAAACAAAAGCAGAGATGTCCAGCAAATCTTGTTGTATTTTTGTCGTAAATGGAATTTAATTACGTAATTGCGAGGTGGATATTTAACTTTTTATTCTGAAAATAAAAAGATCAAAAAGCCGGTGATGTCCGGATATATCCGGGCGGATGGTAACCCTACATTTTGTATACTAATAAAATCCCTTTTTACCTTTTCCATTATGGATATTTCTGTTTTCTTTTTTGTATGAATTAATACTGTATTCAATACGATATATGCATAGAGCAAAAATGTTAAAAAAATATTGTGAAAAACCTTTGATACCCGGTAAAACTTTATGCTTACGTACTATAAGCATAATGTTTTAGTGAAATTTTGATCGCTAACAATTTAAGTCTAAAATTTTCAATAAGCGAGATTGTGCTTTTATACCATTTTTCCAGATAAGTTGGTACTGGTGGCGACGACTAATGTACGTGTTTTGGATAGTCGTCATCATCTATTCAATGATTAATCTTATTCTCATATATGTGTATCAGTTTGATAACTTCTCTAAGGCAATAGAAAAATATTTACTCATCAACGAAAGACTGTGAGTACTGTCCATTAATTTGTATTAATTAGCCTTTAAAATTGTTCAGTTGACTCTAAATCAATTTATGACATACTTGACGACCTCGGCGGCTTGAACAGTGGGCGATGGATTAGGTCCTGGGTTCGATTCCCGGTAGGATCTGATACCATACTACAGGAATTTCTCTATTTTGTGATGAGGCAATTAGTTGTTTGTCTTGCATGTACTGCTGTTATTAATATTATAACAACACTTTCGAAGATACGTCAATAGACGACACATTTTAAGTAGATTTTTAACCATTAGGCATTGTTATTACTATTTACTTTTCATTGTCCATATGCATGTTTACAGACAACACGATTTAGGCCTCGAGCCCTATCACCCAGCTGATTTGTTTGTCAAACTGTTGACCCCCACCTGTTTTCTCATAATTACCATCATGCAAGTTCACTATTTCCACAAAGACTTTATGGAGCTTTCAGATCCAAGGTAAGCTATTTTTACGATCATAAATATAACACTTGTTTTATTTATAACCTAACTTGCAAAAGTTAGAGCTACTGCGTGGCGATGGGAAGCTGTGTGTGTGTTGTGGATGTTTGAGACTCTATGAAACGATGGATGCTAGGGAATCGAGTCTATTATCTTTTTTTTCTTATTGTTACTTGTTAATTACTTTTGTTTCACGGTCCATTCGTTCTTAAACTGTAATACCATGTACGTATATTTACAAGAAATTAATAAATGTGTGAGTTCAAATTCCAGTCTTCACGCTTCACATGTAGGAAAAACTGGGTATCATATATTGTTTTAAACTCCCACATTTTTTTTTTGTTTTCAATTGTTCCATCCCACATACTTGGTTCATCTCAATGTGGACGTTGAACGAAAAGCTTGACATTTCTGAATTTCCTCTCACTCTTTCTTAGATTTATTATCTAGACTATTGTCGATGCACCATTCAGTAATTAACGTAAATTTTGAAAGTAATTTATTCATTCGTTTGCTTTACCTTTTCTTGCCGTATTAATTTTTGTGTTATTTTATGTATCGCAGACAAAGTCAGTCGAAATCTGTAGTTACACCATCGGACAAACAAAGTGTTGGTGGCGCGTCGACCATGAAAGACGATGTAAGTCTACCACTTGCTATAGGTATTTTGTTGTATTTGTACAAGTTAAAAGAATTGATCAGTTGTATGTGGGGCTCGATGCAAATTAACTCGTTCATGGATAATACTTAATTAGTACTGCAGACAAAAATATCTCTACATTTGTTTGTGCCGCAGTGCTTATATTGATTCAATATAAAATGTTCAGTGAAAAATAATTGAATTTTGCCAGTACGTTGTTGATACGTTGTCTCTATGGAGAAGCAGTAGGCAACAATCACACAGAAAGACGCTTGTAAGTTGCACTGCAAAATTAGTAATTGGTTTTTGTGATCCGTATAGAGAAACGGGGTATACATCGTACATCTAGTTATAACCAGAAATAGAGACGAAATGTCATTTGATTTGTTTGAAAACTATTCTGCCAAATCATTACGGTGATAACTGCGCTCCGATTGGCCAGCCCGAATTCGAAACAATTGACGGGTGTCAATTGTTTCACTTCAAATCAACCAGTTTAACTTGAGCTTTGCTATAATGGACGAAAAATGAAAAATTACATATTTAATATTTAATTTGTTTTGTAATTAGTTATTTTGCTGTTTTTCCCACCGAATGGAACATCCTCCGCATAGTTAGAGATATTACCTTTATTACAATAAATACAGAATATTTTTAGAATATACAGAGATGTACATACAGGTCAGTTGTTGGCGCTGTACTACGTAGGGCGCACTATACGTTTCCGGGACTTACCACTACATTTATATATTACATATTTGAAAAGTAATTACAACATTTGAAATTGGAACTCTTTGGCTGTAGAATACAGTTTGTTTCATCTGACTGTCACTTGTTTTTATATTGTGGCGTCATTTTAGAAATTGGTTGTCTACATCACCATGGATTTAACTCGTGATAATTTTCGTAGTATGATTTTCTACGACTTTAAGTGTAATTAAACAGCTCAGCGGATCTTCACTCGGTTTCAAACTGCTTTTGGCGATGAAGCACCATGCAAGACGACTATTTATAGCTGTTTATAGCAAACGCGGTCGTGTGAATCTCAGTGACGAATTTCATGATGGTCGCCCGTCCACTGCTGTGAACAACAAAAACATCGATGTTGTGCGCCGTATGATCAAAACAGACAGGCATGTGACATACCATGAGATTCGGGCATCTTTAGGCATGGGCATGAGTCAAATACAATCAATACTACACGAACATTTGGGTGTGAAAAAGCTGTGCTCTCGGTGGATCCCACACAATTTGACTGAGGCTCAAAAGACGGATCGCGTCACTTGGTGCAATGCCATGCTTACCAGATTCAACGAAGGGGCGTCAAATTTGGTGTGGGACATAGAAACAGGCGACGAAACATGGATTTATAGTTACGATCCCAAAACAAAGCAACAATCGAGCGTGTGGGTCTTTCGAGATGAGCCGAAACCACCCAAAGTGGCGCGCGTGCAAAGTGCCTCTAAGCGGATGATTGCTTCTTTTTTTAATAAAACTAGGCATGTGGCTACTGTTGCTTTGGAAAATCGTTGTACGGTGAATATCGATTAGTACACGACCATTTGTTTGCCGGAAGTTATTGACAAACTCCGTAAAAATAACCATAAACGCCGTATCATCTAGCACGACAATAATTCCAGTTCTCACACGGCCAGACAGACAAATTAATTTTTGAAGGTGAACAATGTTGACCTTATGAGCCATCCCGCGTGCCGTTCCTTCCTAGCACCTTGTGACTTTTATTCATTTCCAAAAATTAAAAACCGGTTACGCAACGATTTTCATCACCTGTCGAAGAGTATGAAAAATATGTTTTAGAGATTGTCACGGAGAAGTGGCATAAATGTTTTCAAAATTGGTTCATTCGTATGAAAAAATGCATTAACGCTAACGGAGAATATTTTGAGAAACAATAAATTCATTTCTGACGATTTATAGTATTTTTTCATATTTATTCCGGAAACTTATAGTGCGCTTTCTAGTTTGTGATTTCAGTGCAAACGAGATTTGATATTTAAAAGTGATATAAAGCCCATTTGCCTGATTAGTTGCCAGGGATATATGGCCCTTATTTCGTCTCTATTTCTGGTGTTATACTCGATGACCCCGTAGTATCATGTTCTGATATTTAATTTTACGTAAACGCTGTTACTGTCCATTAACGGGATAAGGAAGCAAAGAAGGTACATCAAAATCGTAGCACATGGAGATCAATAATATTTGCTCACTAAATCACAGCAGACTCTCTCCACTGTCAGACGTATGTATCTAATACTAATGTCGTGTCAACATGTACGTATAGAATCTGCTGTCTCAATTCCTTCCGAAGGTCTTATCGTTTTAATTATCAATTTAGTCAACTTGCATTTCACTATTTTCCTTTTAGAAGTACTTCCACACAACAACAACACTTGCAAAGTCTATTTACACAGTTCCTGACATAAAAGCTTATGCATACAGCGTATTTTTTACGCAGATGACGCGAGTTAACGCGATCCAAGCCCACCGATCAACATATTTAATCTCCTTATAAGCAATCTCGCAAAAACGTGAACCCGGTATTGCAATCCCTATCCCAGAGGGATCAAAGTATATATTTGCATACCAATAAACAGATCAATACTATATTGTCAAAGACATTACATTTGGAAGTCAGCAAACATTATTGTTTTAATTCAACTTTTAGATAAACTGATTGTTGGATATCACTCTTTATGTGGAGGCTTGGTTTCAGACTAGTCAATACAAGATTCAACAATAAAAAAACACCAAAGTAAAATTGTGAAATATTTATTTAAGTCTAAGTTGTAATGGCGCACATGCTGGAAATTGACAACGTTTGGTTTTTGTACTGTTGTTATGACTTACGTAGCCAACTTAACAATTATTGTTGGAATTGCCAACACTGATAAGTGTAAAACAAAAATTTTCATGTCGCCCGAAGCTACTTTGAGCACACTTTGCTCATGAGTGCGAGCAGCTCGAATATCAGTGCAAACTTATGTTCATGATGTGATCTTTCAGCTGCCTCAGCTTCCTCTAGAAGATGAGCCACATCGTCACTTAGCTGGGGATGAAGGTGCAACAGCGACGGAAGTTGACAACTCTCTAGTTACTTCTATGAGTAAAAAATCACAAAGTGGCGCGTAAGTTCCCTTGCTGCTTCTATATACATGATGTCTTGATGCCTGCTTGATGCTGCTACAGCTTTGTATATAGCTGTAATGAAAGGGACTTATTTTAATGAGAAACACAAAAATTAAATTTGATTGTTGGATGAAATTATAATTTTTTTTCTAACAATAGAAATAATTGTGACCTACAGTCAAATATTGAATTACCTGTATTAAAACAATAAATAACTCAATATGTAAAGGCTGTAGTTATATTTTATGCCTTTGAGGACTTATATTTTTGAATTTTTTCTATCTAAAACATTAGCTTTAGCAATCTCTACTCAGATATAATTTTCTTGAAGTTTCACCTTGATAACATCGATGCACTCCTTTCCGTTTCCGTTGGTGAAAAGATACTCAGGGTCGTATTCCAGAACTCAACTCAATGCTCAAGTCAGGATTTGAGTAGACTTGAGTATGATTTCCAGTACTGGAAATACGACCCTAATGGCAAGGACTTGAGTATGATTTTCAGTGCTCACTGCAATACTCAAGTCCTGACTTGAGTATTGAGTAGAGTTCTGGAATACGACCCTAAGTCATAACTAGATAATTATGCGATCGTAAAATCGTTAGCGACGACATCTGGTTGTGCTTAGACCAACGCCGCCGCCGACGTAATCGGCGTGAAAAAAACGTTCTTTTAAACTTTAGCAGGTACGTTACTAAAAATAATTAATGTAAAGAAAGTTTCTGCAAACACAATCACATAAAAAAAAAGCTCACTTAATTTAAATCTAGCACTTAACGGGACGTAATTAGTTTTATTGCACGAATTAATTGGATTGATCTGTAAATAATGAACAAAAAAGTTGATGCTTTAAAAAGAATCTAATGAAAAATTAAAACTGATTTTTGCCGGTTAAATTTATCGCTGGCTGTGGGGAAAATCGTAACTAACGATTGATTCTCCAATCCTTCACAAAGTGGGCAAATTTTGTCTGGCTCGCTATTCGTCGCATTGTACATTGGTTTTGTGGACCTTTGGCAAAACATACAGCCTTGGTGGTTGCAGATGACGTACATGGACGTAACAGCTGGTTTTCAAGGTTGTCTATGATAGCGTTCCTGCATTCGGCTATGATGACACCTGTTACTTTTTGAAGGACTCCGGGTATTTCATTTAGAGCGATTACACGCGGCGACTTTTAGCAGCGATCGCTACTTTTGGGATTTATAGGCGATCGCATCGATGCAATCGCGCGTTTGTATCGATGCAGTCGCGCGTTTGTATCGATGCAATCGCGCGTTAGTATCAATGCAATCGCGCGTTTGTATCGATGCAATCGCGCGTTTGTATCGATGCAATTGCGCGTTTGTATCGATGCAATCGCGCGTTTGTATCGATGCAATGGCGCGTTTGTATCGATGCAATCGCGCGTTTGTATCGATGCAGTCGCGTGTTTGTATCGACGCAATCGCGCGTTTGTATCGATGCTATCGCGCGTTTGTATCGATGCAATCGCGCGTTTCTATCGATGCAATCGCGCGTTTGTATCGATGTAGTCGCGCGTTTGTATCGATGCAATCGCGCGTTTGCATCGATGCAATCACGCGTTTGTAACGATGCTATCGTCTATAAATCGCTAGTGTAGCTATGCGATCGCGCGTTTCACAAACGCGCGTTCGCATCGCTGCTAAATGTCGCCGTGTGTAACCTCTCTTAGATCGGAAAGGTGCCGGTGTATATTTAATACATTCTCATACAAAGAAATTCTTGTATTCTATTTCAGATTATCAAAATCGCACTTAAAATTGTCGCGATCGACTCGTCAATTAGGATTCCGAGGGTGGATTGCTCTACACTTCAACATTGGGCGTAAACATTTTGCAGTAGCTAAGGACAAAGTGATGGTGTTCTTGGATATACACCTTATAAAAATTATCTTTCTGTCCTTGATGCTACTGTGCGTGTTTAATGTAAGTTTGTAAGATGTATATTTTCTTTACAAGACGTAACAACTTATTAATGTCTTTATACATAAACATAACAGAGAGAAATTTCTGTATGTTGTACAAAAATCTTTTTCAGGTCTGCGCTTTGCACGTCCCGATAATGATATTAATAGCACCTGCGCTACTGCTCGATCGACAAAAACAGCGCGGGTGCATGCTCATCATATCTACTATTATCAGCATATATTTCATGGCCAAAATGGTATACCAGATCGATTACATCAAGCACTCCATTTTTGATGTCAACTGTACAATTGTAAGTTAATTTATGGCATGTATTTAAATGATTATTTTAAATTTGCAAAAGCAGCAGGCAAATAAATATAAACGGTCGTCTTTTTTAATTATTGATCCTCTTTCTCTGAGACATAAAATAAATTAAATCAATGGATTTATCAATCTGTTCTGAGCTACGCAAAAAATGTTTGATTTGTATTAATTCACTTTGATAGTTCTGTGTTGGGCTTCAAAACTAAGACAAATGAGCATTAAAAATAAAATTTAGATATTCATTTTTAAAACTAAGTAAATGTAGATTATGATGAAGGTTGATTGTATACTATTATTATATTAATTATAATATAATTTGACCAGGGGGCCTACCTCTTAAAACAATATTACTCTAACCTTACATTGACTTTTCTTACCATAACGCGCTTAAAGTCAGCTTATTTTAATGTTAAAACTACGATGTTTTATTGGCAGCTTTGTGACTATTCATTCACTCAGTTCGTACTATGACGCGACTTTAACATAAAATAGTATTGCTCTTATGTCAAATTTAGCAATCTTAAAATAGTTACACGGATGCAATGGAAACATTTTTTTTTTTGAGTTTTATTGTCTTAATATTGATTTATAATGATTAAAAGTTTTATTTACATATATCTCTTCAATATTTTGTTTATTTTTTTATTTAATATCATATAGTAAATAATTTTTCGTTAAATAAAAATACGCGATGTTTATTTCGTAAAATTATAACAGCGCCATCTATATGCTCCTTGGCGAAACTAACAGTTGACACTGATTATAGTTCCGAACTCACAACGTGACTATAAAGACTCAGCTTGTTTTATTTATTTTTCTTTATGAAAATGCGGAATAATTATTGAAAACAACGTAATTTTAATAGATTTTATTATTACATTCTTTTCTTTTCTTAACAGTCAAAATTCTCTGAATGTAAATTACATTAAGTACTTAAACATTATACTACGATAAGACGATTCGGAACATCAAACAGAAAGAGATCTCATTATACAGAGTGTAAATTTGAGACGAGCAAGGCATGCTACCTTAATCGTTGTAGTTACAGGAAAACGGTTCTAGAAGACTATCCATGAATTTTGAAGATATTTTGATAGGCATTCACAGATTTTGAAAAAATGGTGCAGTCAGCAAGATAAAAAGCAATTTTTACAAAACTTTTTATGCATTCGATCCGGTCTCTGGTAAGGATCAATAGTCCCCATGGGACCAACTTAGGTAAGAGTACTCGAAATGTCAGAAATCGGAAAAAACTTTTTATGTTTTATTACTTATTCGTCCAAACAAATACCTTGTCCTTTTTCGTCAAATTCGTGATGGGAAGTGCCAATCTAGCAAAATTATCAATAAATAAATTATAATAAGAGAACAATCCTAATACCGGATCACTTCCTTCAGACTACGTGGGGGATTTATCTCTTTCATCGCCGCAACTTTCTTACTATCTGGTCCAATTCCCTCGGCCGACACTTCATGTCCTAGAACAGTCACCTTCTGAAAACCGAAACGACATTAAGATGGTTTTATCGTCAAATGCGCATTTCGCAATCGAATCAAAACCTCTTAATGCAGTTTTAAATTCCACAAACGTACTTGCATACACCAATATATTATCCACATAAACTATCACATTACTTCACGATACTTCATTCCCGCCAATACCTTATCCATCGCCCTTTGAAACACCGCTTGTTTTGTTTTCAAGCCAAATGGTAACACATTGAACTCATATAGCCCCTTTACCTTCTTCTAAACCTAACTAACTGCCAATACCCAGAGTTCATATCTAAATCTGCGAAATACCTTGCACCCTGCAAACAACTTAACAAATCGTCCACTCTCGGAATAGGGTATGAATCGTTTTTATTTTTTTTTATTCAAGGCCCTGTAATCAATACAAAATCTCGGCGGCCCTTCCGGTTTATCCACCAAAACTACCGGTGAAGCATATGGACTTTTCGATTCCTGAATTATCCCATACTTTAACATTTCTTCCACTTGTTCCTCAATAATTTGTCTCTGTTTAGAGGAGACACGATATGGCATTTTATGCACCGGTTCCTCATCAGTAGTTTTGATTTCAACCAATGACTGCTTATAACACCCTAGTTCACCTGGCGCAAAAGAAAACGTGTCGCGGAATTCTAATGATAACTGATTCAATTCATCCCGCCTTTTCTCCTGCAAAGAATTATCAATATTAAACTATCTTTTTCACGTTGGAGATATTAAACATGTGGTTACTATTCGGTTCCAACAGATTAACAAAATATAAATACTCGGACTTATTTAATGAAAACTTTTTACGGCTTTTTGAAATTGGCTCGATAGAACAACAATTATTTTTCCTTGACATGACATCAGAGACAGAACTGAAAGGAATTTCAACATTATTCTTTAAAGTTATTTTCGACGCTGCAAAATCAATTACCGCACTGTTTACCGTTAGGAAGTCTTGTCCTAAAATAAGGAGCTCATGATCGTCATCTATAACAAGCAGCTTTGATAGATATTTGTTTCCCTGGATTGGCAACGAAACTTTGGTGGACGCCTGCACTATTACACGCGTTCCACCCACCGCACGCAAAAGAAAATTCGGCGTTTTCTCAATCGCAAAAAAGCACCAGTATCCACCAAAACATCGCAATCTACATTATTTATACAAATGGTTATAAAGGTGCTCTATCTACATCACAATCATCAACTATACACAATTTTTGTTTCAAGCACGCCGGTTTCACATTCCACGTCCGACCATTCCGGCTCCCTATTGGCGTGGCGGTACATTTGAGTGATCGCCTCTTGAATAAGCAAGCTGCGCCTTGATAAAATCGACGTTGGGGGTATCCTGTCGAAGAACCATTTCCTTGTGCTAGCGAATATACTTGTCGAGGTTTCAAATTGTACCTTCCGCGTGGCATATTTCGCTGCACGTCAAATGGAACGACGGCCGTGACCGGAGTCTGTGGCGTTTGATAATCTGAATAAGCAGAGATGGGTCCACCAAGCGTTGAGGGATCTCCTTGTGCTTGCCAAGACTGAGAGTATTCCTTCGATTTACATACCGGTAACTCGATACTCTGTTGTTCTAAGTTTGATTCTCGATTAAATACATCCTCCATCTGTATAATCGTTTTTCTCAACTCGTCTTTAGACGCGAACAACTTGTTTGCAAGTACCCATTGAAACTTGGGAGCTAAAGATTTTAGGAAATGCTTTATAAACTTCACATCGTCCTGTATCTTTGCCCTTGTCGCCAAGCTACCCAGATTATAAAAATAATTCAAGAGCGGCTCATTAGGCATCTGCCGACTATAGTAGAACTCCTGGGCATAATCGACCTGCGAGGGGAACTGCTCTTTTAATTTTTGTGCAACGGTATCGTATCGTCGCATACGAGGAAAAATGGGTTTTATACCATTGCAGAGCTGGCCCTTCCAGATACGTCGCAATTACATGTCTCTTTTGCCCTTCTGATTTATTACGCTAATTGCCAGAAATTGGTCTACATCATTTAAGCCCGTAAATTTCTGTGCCGGCGTAGGATTAAATTTATAATTTTCTACTTTGCCCCTTTTCACTACGAAGCGCACAAAGATACAATAGCAAGTTCAAACACAAAAATAAAATATAAATTACGACCTTATATTGTGGCTCTCCTCTTCTTCTTCCTTCTTCTGAGATTTCTCAAAAAGTATAAAAAAATTTCAACATCGGAATTTTTGCTTAGGGCGATTGTATACCATTTTGAAGCGCCTCTACCATTTATAGCATAGGATGTAGCTCAGGTTGCGTTGCGAGAGATACTCTTGAATATAAAACTGGGATTATATTATTATATCTATCTATTATATCTTCATAAATAGATATTTATTACGTATTTTGCATATTTGATTGAAAGTAGTTATAAATATTTTAAATAGAAGCTTTTTCTAGAACTGCCAAGATGTTCTTCTTTTTTCTATCCTATTTTTTAAAATACATTCCAAACACAAACCTATGTTCATTCAGCCAGCATTTCTACTCATAGAGTAGAGCCTAGACTACACTACAACGATTAAAGTAGCTGGCCTTGCTGCCCCGTCTCAAATCTCTGTATAGTTCACATAGCGTTATCTCTTTCCTATTTTTAGTAAGGAATAGACGATATTGGGAAATCATTCGTTTTTCCAATCAATTTTGCAATAATATATTACTTGATTGACAGGTTCGTCATGGTAGGAATATGAGTAATATTACAATAAGCTTACTTTAAGCTTACATTGAAATAAGATTGTTTTTGTAAAGGTTATGGTTGGCCCCCTGAAAACATGTCGGGAAACGCAAGCAAATTAGCTTCAGCCATCCATGTATGTTACGCGAGGAGTTATCGCGTTACATACATACAAAAAAAATACAGTTGACAATTCGTGTGTATTTTTTTTGTACATAATTGTTTGTAGTCGGTTAAAAATAATTTGAAAAGAAGTTTACCTGATGTTATTTATTATTTTCGGGATAAAACTAGAACTAAGCCAATGTAACTAATTGGAATGATTTTTTTCCCATTAGTTCTACTGTTCTTGAAATATAATTTTATAGAACTACTCAATAGGACTAGTGGGAAAGCAACCTCGCACCTCTGAGTTTCTCGGAATTTACTTGCGAAATTTAATTTGAAAATTATCATAAGCTTTACGGTGAAGGAAAACGTCGTAATGAAACCTGCTCGTTGAAGAACGTTCAGAACTCGGAAAATGTGTAAGTCCCCAACCCGCATTGACCCAGCTCGGCGGACAATGGTCGAAAGCCTCGTCTAAGAGGAGACCCGTGTCCAGCAATATAAATGGTCAGTCAATCAGTTTCTTTTCTCTCCTTTTTTTAAATTTATTTTGTCGGTCTTCCGAACAGTTACCCACTTTAAAATCTTGTAAATGTAGAATGTAGTCATGTGTGCGTTTTTTTAGGAGGACGTTAACTCCACGAATATAACTACTTTTAACAACGCCGAATGGATCGGCTTCCAGAAAGCCTCTCGCGATCGACCACTAGTTGTGCTACTGAAAGGTTACATTGCACTGATCGCCTTGTTTACCTTTTACTCATTGGTCACTTATCATCAGAGGAACAGGTTTGTATTGTGTTGGAATTAAATTTGAATTTTTTTGTGAACCAGTTTCGATGATTCTTTTTTGTTGGAAAGGGGATACCTCAGTACTGAGCCCATTAAAATTTGAAGAAAATATTTGACCTCTGAGGGTGGCAAATTAAGAGATGAATCCCATTTATTGGATTTCGCCCACTTTCCATTTTCATCCATGAGGTCGATTTTTTTAATAAAAAGTTATAAATATTACGACGCTTGAAAGGCAAAATGGGTAAGCGATTTTTGGTCATACTGAGTTATATATACCATTGGAATCAGATAATGTTTTTCATTTCAACGGTATATATAACTCAATATGATCCAAAAGTGTCGCTTATCCCATTTTGCCTTTTAAGCGTCCATATATAATGTTTCTCGTATCATGGCCAACACTAATGTGAAGTGTCAACATTAGCGCCACCATTTCAGGATTCTAAAGTAACTTGTCATTTTCAAGTTTCATTTTACCACGATCATTAGAATATCAGATCTATAATTATTTTGAAATTCACACATATTTTACACAGATATTTAAAACTCTGTCTTTTAAGGCTACACACCTAGTACGTATACTTTGTAAATTTACGTATACGAAGTTACTTACCAATTTATGTGAGTGTACGTGCCAACTATAGGCAGTCCTTACGTCTAACTATTGCATGACCTGTTTCACGAAATACCTACTAAAACTGTATGTTACAGGGTAAACAGAGATGCTTCGGACAATTCGAACAATCCCAACTTGATGTTCCCAGACGTGAAGCGTAGCGACGCAGATAAAAATTTAATATATTGCACAAAATATTTATTCAACTACGGTTTCTATAAATTCGGGGTTGAGGTAAGGAAGGAGAACGAATATGTATGGAAAATGCCATATTTTTTTTCTGGTATTTGTATTGATACAAACAAGATTCTATAAGTGCCTGCAGGTTTGCTCGATTTCTGATAATCGCTATTGACGCACGATATGCCAAATTTTGACGTACAATGGTCTAAATTTTTATTGAATTGATATTCAATAATTGTTTATGTGAAATTACTACACTAGTTTGTTATAATAAAACAGTCGTTGAAAAACCAAATATAAAGGCACGACAACAAGCACATAGAAAAATTTGAGAGGGCCGCTCGCTGGTTCGTTCCGTGGCTTAGTTGGTATACTCGTAGCGTCTGACACGGTATGCTAGAAGATGTCGGTTCGAATCCGGCTGGATCGAATGAATTTTTTCTGAGTGTTCGATGTTTGTTCAATGATCTGTCATCTAACACATTTCTTCGATTTTATCGATCGTTTCACGAAAGCAGCCTCCTCGCACGACGACGTGTCATTCCTTTCTTGTACGTCTGACGCAACCTGGGTAATAATTGGCGAGTATCTTACACCGATTGGGAAATCTTTTCACCACGATGGCAAGCATTATAATGTATGCCATCGAAACGATAAGAAAAAGATCGATCGTTAACTGTCTCTTGCTAGCGATCAATAAATATAAAGATTAAAATCAAATAAAATTGCGGGCACCTACGCCTAATTTAAAGTCACAGCCAGTGTCTATGGCAAAAAAATGTGTAGTAGATCGAACTTACCTGAAAATTACTGATAACAGTAATTTTCAGGTAAGTTTTTTGTACTTAATTTTGGTGTCAATTTTTATTATTTAATTACTCGAATTTATAATCGTGAAATGTTAAAGAATATTTCAGGTTACTACACTCGAATATTAAATAATACTTCATGATGATATCCTATAAATATTGAAATGAAAAGAAATTGCTAACAAAATTGAGTACAAAAAACTTACCTGAATATTACCCTTATAGTGGTTACACATGGTGACTTTTAGCAGCGATGCAACCGCGATGCAAGCGCGACTGCATCGATACAATCACGCGTTTGTATCAATGTAGTCGCGCGTTTGCATCAATACTTCTTCTCTTCTTCTTGAGGTGCCTCTTCAATCCTGAAGGTTGGCCGTTAGCTTCTTGTATTCGTCTCGGTTAGCAGCCAACCGGAACAGCTGTTCGACCGAGGTAATGCCGGTCCACTCTCGGATTTTTCGCAGCCACGATTTTTTCCTACGGCCTGCGCGTCTCTTTCCCTGCACTTTACCCATCATTATTAATTGCAGCAGCCTATATCTATCGTGCCTGAGCAGGTGCCCGAGATATTCTATCTTGCGCCTTTTGATAGATGGGATCAGTTTCGGGGTCATATGTACTCGCTGAAGCACTGTTTCATTTCGGACCTTCTGTGTCCAGCTAATGCGCAACATGCGACGATAACACCACATCTCAAATGCCTGTAAACGCTTTGTAGTGCCCTCTTTTAATGTCCACGTTTCGCATCCGTACAAGACGATAGGCTATATGTAACATAAAAGCAGCCTGACTCGGAGCTTTATGTTGAGTTGACGACAGCACAGTACCTTCCTCATTTTATTGAAAGAGGCTCGAGCAATTTCTATCCGGGTCTTGATTGCCTGATCGGATTCCCATGCTTCATTTACCCAAGCCCCCAAATACTTATACTGTCGTACCCGCTCTAGTTGTTTCCCAGCCACTGATATGTTTGGGTTCAAATCCGGATTTCTCGAGATCACCATGAACTTTGTCTTGTTTATGTTCATCGATAAGCCGGCTCTCTCGCTGCACTCATTAACCCTATTTACAATTGCTTGCAGGTCCGTCTCTGATGCAGCAATAAGAATAGTGTCGTCTGCATAGCGCAAGTTGTTAACGACTTTGCCGTTGATCTTAATTCCCGCTTCAAGGTGTTCAAGGTTCTGCATCAATACAATCGCCTATAATTCGCAAGTGTAGCGATGCAATCGTCGTGTAACCGCTCTTACGCTTACACATTTACTCGATTCTGACTGATCACCCTGTGTTGGTCGACAAAGAATACGTTGTCATTCGTCTGTTGCTGACACATTTAGGTCTTGTTTGGTCACACGGATCGATCGACAAAAGTACGATGTCGATCGTCCATTGTTTTTTTACATATTTACTCGTTTTTTTTTATCACACGTGTTGATCATCAAAAACTTGTCTGTGGGCACTTAAAGTGACTGGTTTGTAAGAACTGGCGCGTTAGTAAAAAACCAAACCTGTCTAAAAGCTAAGAGCATATCACATACGCTATGACATACGTACATCAACTATACTCATTTTATAGTTACTATAAAATGATATCGCAATAGCAACTTCCTACGTCAAATACTTCATGAGTCATATGTCGTACTAGTGATATGGCCATAGGATAAGGTATTTTTAATTATGTTCCTAAATAATAATGGTTATTGAGTTTACTTTTCATAATTTTAGATATCCTTAATATGCCTTATGGGCGTAATTGGATCTCGTATGGACCTGTACGCGCTCATTTACGCTGGGTGGTTATTAATACTAGTGTCTATAAAGCGACCGTTGCAAGCCAAGGTTTGGAAACCGTTTACAGGATTCACAATGGTCATGGTACCGTTGCAGTACTTGCTTGCTGTCGGATTTTTACCTGGTTTCTGTATACAGTACCCTTGGGCTGGTACTAACCCTGTAAGTTAAACAATATGATCATAACTTCATGATTAAGTTCTACATATTTACTATTTAGGGCGTCATCAAATTAAACGCTTATAGTCAGTAATTTGTAATACACTAATTGTGACTGCGAAAGTGTGCGTGCGTGATGTCACGACAGTGGCGCTGCAATTGCGGTTCTAAATGTTGCATGACAATTAGTTTTGGTGGCGCCACAGTGACGCCACTCTAGCGCTTCTATAATAGTCTAATTTGAAGGCGCCATTAGTGATAATTTTATCGGAGCTAGTCGTGATGCGTCATACAACTACTATTATAAAATATAGCCAGTTTCACCAAAAGGATAAAGTCTGAGAAACTCAAACTCATTTGAACAATAAATATAGTAGAAGTGCTTTGTTTGAGTGGCACGTGTGCCAACAGGTCGCGGAGTTCCGAAAGCTTTAGCTCAGTCTGCCATTTTTGCTTTGTAAGTTATAATATAAAACAGGAAAATCGTAGAAAAATGCCTTATTTTGCTACTTTGTTGTGCAAAAATGATAGTCGCACTTGTAATATTATCTATCTCTATTTTATAATAATAATAATATCTATTTTATTATCGTAATATTTTTTTTGTTACAAGAAACGTAGGCCGCTATATACGCTATTATACCGCTGCAATACGGTCGCTTTTTTTTTTGGAGAACTTAGTTAGCATCTTGACTTCGTCGCCAGCATGGATTGAAATTTCAATATGAAACCAAAACGTCGTGACTTGCAATAATAGGAATTTATGGTATTGAACTTTCAACGATATGCGAACAGAGTAAAGTTTAAATTATATTAACAGTCCAGATTTTCTTTTTAAATGATGACTAGTACTACGACCAATCATTATCAAGAGTGTTACGAGTTAGGAAAGTGTGAGTTTTGGCGACAGCGGTTCTGATAGTAATCAAGGCTTATGGCACTTGTTTTTTTTCTTCAGTGGAAAAACTGCTTACGCTGAGATTGTTACATTTTTATGTACACGTTATTTTAATGTAGATAAATAATAATAGATAATAGTAATAATAGAGCTCTTTATTATTACTATTATCTATTTTAGACTCTAGCCTCTCTCATAGTCTAAAAGATAAATTTTGAATTTTGAAATGGGTGAGGTGGTATTCCCCGGCATTGACACACTTGATCAGAGTCAAAAACTCAACCAGGTTCAAGAACCGGTGATATTATTAATTATTAGAAGAAGTTGTTTAACGCAAAATAGGCGCCTTGACGTCGAGTTGCGGAAACCAGCCCGTTACACCAAGTACCAAATAAAGCAATAACGCCATCAATTGTGTTTGTTTTGTATTTTTTGCGTCTTATTAGTGTGTATAATAAAGTGTATTTCAACTGCTTTTTAGCAATTAAAACATGTACGCAACTGGTTGTACCTTCCGTACGAAGCTGAGCCACCGCACGGGTCGAAATTGATCTTCGACTACTTTCTACTTCTGTTCGCGTCTCGTCAATTAATAGTGTTCAGGATAGAGAACGCCAACGGGGATAATTACCCTGGAGGTTCTAATAAGGAAGACATTGGACATGATTGGGAAACACCAAACTTTGTTAACCCCGTGCCGGATTTCCTTGGATTTGTTGGGTAAGAATTTTGCCACTAAATTTTACCAATAAAGTGTTCCTCATGATTTCAAAATAAAAAGAGACATAATCAGTAACAAGTTATTTCAACATTAATGAATATTGTGTAGTAAATTTGTGGTAGCCTAATGACTTGACCTATCACTTCTCAAGTAGAGGGCGTGGGATTAGTAGCAGTAGAGCTCCTTGTGAAAGAGTTCGTCCAGGGAAGTACTGCCACCTTACCTATTTCTGCCGCCAAGCAGTGATGTGAGCATTACCTACTGTGTTCCGGTTTGGAAGGGTAAGGGTGCTGGTGAGATTACAGACATATGGGACTTGTCAACTTATGTGTCAAGGTGATCTTTGCGATTGAAAGTTGTTGAGTGGCGCTGCAACTGTTATGGACAGGCGTGTAACTTACCATCAGGTGCACGACTTGTTCGACCCGTCACTTGATAATATAAAAAAGAAGTTCAAATTGCACCTCGGATTGTTTTTCGGAATTTACGTGTAAAATTTAATTTAAAATTTACCGTTATCTTTTCGATGAACATCGTGAGGAAACCTGCACACATCTGCAAAGCTATTTAATGACGTGTGTGAAGTTCCCAATCAGCATTGGGCCCGCGTGGGAACTCCAGGCCAAGCCCTCCTATTGTGAGAGGAGGCCTATGGCAGGCAGTGAAACCATATATAGGCTAACAATTTATATTTTATTTATTAAATATAGACTTTTTGTATTTGATCCCATTGAAAGTTTATTTTTCTTTTTTTTTTCTTTAGTACATGGCTCGATGTAATCAAACGTTTGGTGTTCCTTGGTATGCTATGGGTGACCCTCGCTATCATGTTCATGACTGGCACTAACCGTGTCAACCTGTTTTCTATGGGTTATTTGGTTGGTTCCTTCATCTTTCTATGGCAAGGAACTGATTTTTATTTACTACCAAAAGACGCGATACTACGGTGGTAAGTATTAACAGGGCGTAGATCCTGAACATATCTATATGCACTTACTTTACTTAACTTACTCTAAACACTTATTATAGAATTACAATGAACGGATGTTAACAAACTTGTATTGCCTCAAACAATTATCATGTTTTTTTATATTTTATGTATATAGGGTTATTAAGTTACAAGATACTGTATTAGCACTACCAACTTTTAAAACATAAACGTTTTCTCTTGCTATTTTGAAAAGTTTGTATATCTGTTCTGTGTATTTGTGTATGTTTGGTATTATGCAATTTAAATGATTTGCAAATCTAATAAGGCTATCTAATTTGCAAAGTCCTCAGATGCTGGAGTCATGGACACTTTTGACATGCTTTTTTATGTTAACTTGAATCTATCAATTTGTTTTTCTTTGCTTAATGGTTGTAACATATGTACATAATTTGCAAGTGAATGAAAGCCGATTTTCTTTTATTATTTATTATTAAGTATAACAATTGTCACCCCTGGTTCAAGCTACAGTAGACATTATGCTATTTAAAGATCATCATATTTTGTATACAAATTTATGTATTCTTCCTGCAGGTGGTCATGGTTGCTACGCTACAACGTATCAGTAGTTGTAATCAAAACGTTACTACAAATTCCTGGTTGCATGTTCAGCTCAGTGATGCAAGAACATGCTTGTTGGCTCGTTCAATTATTGGGTATAGGCTGCGTGGACAAGTTCGCTGGCGGGAACATAGCGCAGTTTCTAAAAATGAGCTACGTGAAGGTAACAGGTCAAATTCAGGCACTGGTACGGATCATTTCTTTACAGGTTATGTTTGCCACGGACGGAGGAATGTGTAGCGTAATGATAAGTAGTTATTGGATGAAGTACATAGCGTTGTAGTCGTACTAAGTTGTATTGGAACTTTGTTAAGTTCTACTAATTACAACACAATATTGAATTAGTAGATTCAGGCGTTAATTCACGGAAATCCATGTTAATAAGAATGGAAGTAAATTGATTTGCTACTTCGTAACCTAATGAGGGTTAAATCGTGCAAAATAGCTATGCTTGTGTTGAATATTTTTTATTAGCATTTAATTATCCCACCCTTCCTCTACACAAAATTAATTAAATAAATAACACGGAGCGGTTTGAAAAGATGAACTGCGTGGAAACAATATTCAACTGAAAAGTAGCTATTTTGCACGATTCGAATTCTATGCTTAAGCATAATTATAGTATGCGCTGGCCGCATCAATAAACGTTATCGTCTGAGCACTTTCATGCGATGGCTCATTGTTTTATTCGCAAATAAGAATACACTGATTGTTAATGGAAGTAATTAGGTAGAATCCCCTCGTAATATTATGTTTGCAGTAATACATTGTGTAAAGCGTTCTTTTCGTTCCGTGGTGTAATCAGCAACATAGTTAGACTACAGAACTTGATTTAATTGTAGTATTTGGCAATGGACTATTCTAATATTTCGTAATGTTTAAAATCTGTATAAGAGTGGTTCCACACTGCGGCTTTTAGCAGCGATGAAACGCACGATTGCATCGCTACACTTGCGATTCATAGGCGATGGCATCGATGCAAACACTCGATTACATCGATATAAACGTGCAATTGCATTGATCCAATCGCCTGTAAATCCCAAGTGTAGCGATGCAATTGCTCATTTGTATCGATACAGTCGCGCGCTTGCATCGCTGCTTAAAATCGCGCTCGTGTGTAACCGCTCTTACGCTCCGGAAACATCATTCGAGCTACGTTGTATTTTCAGTATTAAATTGAGCTTAAACAATATTTGATTGATCAAAAACTATTGTGCAATTTTGAAAGTGGTAGCTAAACGTCATTTCCATAAGTTCATGATGAAAATTTGATTTTGTGAAACCGGGGAAATCTTTTTCTTGATTATAACAATATTTTGTATTTAAGATGGCTCGAAATGTGAGTCCCAGGAGTGTATTTGGTATTCCTATTAATAGTTAATAAAGTAACGTAGTAAAAAATAAGCTAGAAAAGTAGAGTGCTTATAGAATTTGTTAGTAAAACAATGTATTTGTCTCATATGATGTTCCAACTGCAATTTAATGTGTAAAGACTAAGCAAGTTTAAAAGAAAGATAACGTCGCCTTACTTTCTCAAACTCGTATGTTAAAGCACAAAGTTACTGAAATGCAAAAAATGGATTGAATATACAAATTTTACAGGCTGATTTCACATCACATTTCCTTCATATTTCACACTGACTTTTACCTATTCTTAAAGTAATGCATACAAATTAACACCCTTCATAAGAAATTTAAAATAAACAGACAGTTTTGCCGTCTCCTAAATAATCACTATTTATACTATAAGATACGAGTTTGAAAAAGTAAGGCATCGACTTGCCATTTTGGAGAATTACTAATTATTATACGAATATCTACAGTTATTACTAGCACATGATATAATTACAACAACGAAACCAGTTACTTTAATTCATGTTACATTTCTAAGATAATCACTAATATCACTGGTTCGTTCCGTGGCTTAGTATACCGTCTGACACGGTATGCTAGAAGACGTGTCGGTTCGAATCCGGCCGGATCGAAGGATTTTTTTCTGAGTGTTCGATCTTTGTATTAATAATTGTAACAAACTAGTGGAGTAATTTCACAAAAAATTATTGAATATTAATTCAATAAAAATTTAAAATAATCACTAATGTTTAAAAAATTAATAATATTGTTCTTAATATATTTCAAGGACGCAACGTGTTCCGTTCCGCAAGAAGACATTGGATTAGCATGGGACGGTGTATGCTTCGCATTTCTCATACTACAACGACGGTTATTCCTAAGCTACTACTTCTACAGAGTCATTGATGATAGCAAAGCTACCACTGTCTTGGCTTCCAGGTTCGTAGTAGTAAAAATATCATAAAATTCATTACAAATAAATGTTGCAATATTTGTACTATTCTGTTCATTCATCATCCATAGTGCATCCTCCATGGTGCAATATCTAAGCAGCGCCGTCATAACGCTCGTTTAGAAGTTAATCACGAAAGATAATGTATAATCAACATATGTTTGAACACTTGACAGAGGTGCCGAGTTGATAGAGCAACTGCGTCTGAAACAAATGAAGATCCAAGAAGATCAAGAATCTAAAATATTGGAAAAGATCAAAGTGAAAATGGAGAGGATCAAAGCTAATCAGAGAAAGATTCAGGGAGCTCTTGCGAAAGAGCCGAAACACCATGATCGTGGTAAGTTAAACTACTTTGGAGTTAATAACGAATGTGTGGGTATAAATAAGTAGTCGGAACATATTTTTTATTATTGGAAAAGCAAATAATACTTTGTAGGAATTTGCTTTAATTAAAGTTTTTAAGAACATTTAATAAGTAATTTCTTCCTACTTGTACTGCCACACTAATCAGATGAGGATGACGAAGACACGCAAGAAGGAGAATTGGAGCAAGTGCCACTCGTGCGCGGCGATTCTGATGCGTCTGGCCGTGGTTATCATACCCCCGACAGTCCTGCGTCCCCGCGCGGTTTCCACACTCCTATCAGCGAATCTTCCGCTACTCCCTCCCCGATTAATACAGCACCCCACACCCCAGTCCATTCACCGCCGCCTCGGGATCCTCCTCCCGCCCCGATTCCTGCACTGCCCCCACCCAGCTCTCACGGCGGCGGACCACCCTCTCCGTCCTCTGCTCTAATGACAGCCTCTCTTTCCCTGGACGCGTACTTGGAACCTCGTAGAATCTCATTCGAGTCCCCACCTTCGTCTGATCTCCTTCCGCGCGCCCAAAGTCCTGAGGAATCCTACCCAGTATTTTCGCCTCCGCCCATCCGCCGTCGACATACATTAGCCAGCCCGAGTATGCTGCAGCGTACCTCCATCATATCGCAGTCGAGTCGCGCTGAACCCAACTCCCATCATACGTGTAACTACTCCGTATCTTGCCACGTTCAGCACTTACTTACACATGGTGTAATAACTACTTTTTTCTAATATCGACTTCTTTGACGTTAAAAGTTTTTATTACACATATTTTATGTGCTTCACAATGACAATACACTATATATATTGTGTAAGCATTTGTATATAATGTAAAGCATTGTTTTCAATTATGAGTTGAAAAATATGTTTCTCGTGTAGGAAGTGAATCGTCTCCTGGTGCTAGGCGTCGAATATACACAAAGCGACATGAAGGTACAGTTAGTCAATAATACATCATCTAGGTTGGTGTTGGATGTTCATGTCACGTCCTATCTTACGTTGGTCGTTCATGTATCGCTATTTCAAATTAACATTTCTCTTGCAGTATTATTAAAAGAAACGGGACGACTAAAATACATAAAGTTCATGTTTGTAGTTGAATTTTCCTAATTATGATGCACTTGTAAAATCATCACACCAAACTGCCCGCTTCCATAGTGACTTAACTTTCATTTTTCCTCGTTTGGATGGATTTTGACTTGTTAACTGATTGCTAGTTAGTGCTGAATCCTCCAAGCGTTCTTGCGGTGTGTGTCTGCGTTGTTGAGCTTTCCCTTTGTATTATAGAACGTGACCGACCGGTATACAGGCCGCCCACCAGCCATCAAAAGGGTAATGTTTAGTCCTCGACCTTCTATTGCATTAACGCTGTTTGAGCTTTGTTTGAGCTACTAATGTTTCCATCGCTTTTCAGATGGTATTTAGGCGATTAACCTCTTAGGCGGGAACTGTCTTAATATATATTTATAAATATTTTTGTACATTTTGTAAATAAAATTGTATAAAGTGTAAATTTTAAATGTGCAAAAATGGAATGTAAGACAGAATGCGCCTTAGATTTTTTACAGCTTGGTTCTTTGTGTTAGCATGAAAGTTATGTTTATTACTTGTCACAGCTGTTTGTTTTACATGTTTGACTTTAATGAATTTTAATGTGTGATAGAATAAGTGCCATATGTTTTTATTTACTTATATTTCACTACCTTTACACTTACCAAAACAACAACACTAAGGCAATACTAAGTGAATTAAATTTACAAAACGATTTATATAATAATATTATATATTATTTTTAACTTTTTTTTATATTATATTATTTTGTTTAGATAATGACATTTATTGTTTTTATTCTTTACTGCTAATGATATGCAATGGTTTTGATTTATATGCATACTTATTTGATCTTTTGCTGAACCTGTGTAAATATGTGCACGGTCTTAAGTATAGCACATCTTGTTTATTTATTGGTGTCATTGGCTGTTTCACAGTAAAGTAAACACCGCTTTTAACCGTCGGGGGAAGACTACTATGTTGATATACATTGACCCAGGAACGCAAGCATCCATTGACGCTAAACCCAGCTACTGGATCTATGTTAATCAACAGCTTTAGCTGCTTACTTTAATGTTTTTTTCGTATACAGCTGTCCGCTCCGGTGACTACTACATGTTTGATGAATTCGACGATGTGGATGAGCTAAAAGAAGGGCCAGAGAAAGCCGATTCCGATGATGAAGCTCCAAAGGAAATGGGACTTGGCAAGGTACGGTAAAGTGTTATGTTAAATGCAACAGTTCCTTGACTGGGTTACAGCATTAAAATATATTAATACGTAATTAGAAAGTACCGAAGTATTTTTTTAAAATTACGTGAGATACATTTGTCGTTTAATTGCTTCTCAATGGATATCTAACATGCCTTTTGAATTACTACAAGCCCTTACTGGAAAAGTTCGTAGTATTTCAATATATTATGTCGACGCTGACGTATTTTCATATTAAATGTCCTGTGTAACTTAGTCAAGTTTTTTGTCACGTGGTTGGTTTTTGGGTAGCATGATTACAGCGATTCTTGGGCATGATTGAGTATTATAGTTAACATAATTGTTTTATATAGTAAAAGTTTTTTCTCGACTTCTTAGTGGGGTGATTTTGGCATGGTCAATACCTGGAATGCATTGAAAATGTTTAGCAAGCGTGAGGTGGTTTGATACTTAGGACTTTGTAGTTATAGGTCTATGTTCCCTTGTAGCTTTCGGTAACTAACCGAATATTGTGATAATACTGCACCAGCCATATTGTTTTCCTCTACTTTACTGTACTTTGCTTCTGTGTCCCGATAAAGAGATAATGTAGGACAAAAGCGTCTTTAATTTGTAATTCGTACATGATTCTTTATTGTTATCTTATAAGATCTTAGGGGCACAGCCACTACTCCCGGCACCCTGAGACTCCATAAGTGGACAAGTCCCATGTAATTTCACCAGCATCCAAACCTTTCAAAACGAAATGCAGTAATGCTCACATTACAGCTTGGCGGCAAAAATAGATAAAGTGTCCCTGGACACAAGGAGCTCTACTGCTGCTGAAACATACATTTGGCAGAACGGTTGTACTCTTTAAATCTAACAGATGTTATGTCTTTTAATTCTAGGGTCGGCGGACTAAAGCATATAAGTCAAAAAATTGCTTCATTTGTTAATATATAATTATATATTTTTTTGTGTTGTTTGTACTTTAACCGGTAGATGTTTTAATTTCAATGAATGATGTTGGATTTTGACTTATGTACTTTAGTCTGTCGATCCTAGAATTGTCTTCTAATGTCAAAGTGCCATACACGGTGACCCAATTTGTAACTAACACCTACAAAGTTCGGTTTAAATGAAATCATAGAAGGCCATAGAACCAAAGTACAAAGTTAGAGTTGTATGCTTACTGTGGTGGGGCTTGGGTGCGCAGCTTTTGTCTACGGTGATGAAGACGGACTTGCGGCGTGCGATGGAGTTGCGCCGAGCCTCTGCGCCCAATGTACAGACGTCAAGACAACATTCGCTTGGAAGTCATCCCCATTCTTATGCCTACGAGGTAACATCAATATTCTTTCGTCCCGCCTTTTCAAGATTGGTTCAGTGGACTTCGGGCAATTGTTTTAGTGGCATTGGCCTATCCAGTCACCCAGGTTCACTTGTAACGGGTGTGATTTGCTCGTCGTCCACTTCAATTATTCGTATAAAATGCTCTTTCATAGAAACTTAGGAGCCTGATACATATTCACACTCTTTGATGTCTCACTACAAAATGTAGATCTGCCATTATCTATTATCACACGCTTGGCAGACGGGTTAGCATCACAGGCAAGCTCATAATCAGCGAGACGCTGCTACATCTACGTGTCATTGTCTATTATTTATTAATAGTTTTCTACGACTTCCACGCAAATCTACGAACGACGTGAATTATATACACACGTCAATTCAGATACAAATAAAATCAAATTATATATATATTTGCTTTATTCGTGAGGTTTGCTTAAGACATTTCGCAATAATCCTTATTGTCTTATATGACTTGTGTATGTTTTGTTGCAGGTATTATTTTTAATATATTAATGTAATTTGTTAGTGAATGCTACATATGTATGTGTATGTTTCTAATATCTGTGTGTATTATGTATTAATCCTATGCTATGATAGTGTTTAATAATTGCATGGTAAATGTTGGGTAGAATAATTTTATGTGTATTTACTTTTATATGTTTATATACGTAGGTATACCGGACTCATGAGGGACTCATTAATACTGGTTACATTTGTTACAAAATATGCTGTTCAATAAAATATTTCGCATGAAGATGAAGTGGTTGGGAAAAGACTCTGGAACGTCATGTATCATATTAAAGTACTTTATATTCTAAAGACATTCTGTGCGGTAATAATAATAACATCAAAAAATATTATTTAATATATTTCCTGGCCCCTTCATAATAGTGCATGGTCAAAGTTGTGTTAGGATAGTACCTATACTTTTAAAGTTCCATAATATGGCAATGGGAGAAATGTAATTTTTCAGCGCGTTCTTTGTTTTAAAATATTTGTGAATGTGTAGGGTCACCGGTCGAGATCGCATTTGCCTCAAGATCCTGGGGGACCTAGCAAAGATTTGCCAGGACAACCGTCTGATTACCCTGAACCTCTATCTCTTGAAGACTTCCCACTTGGTAAATTGAGTTATTTTATACTGTATCAGTTCGTGTTGGTATATTTTACCTATCACTTATAAAGGTACATGCGCATGCGCATTAAGAGTACACATCTGCGGGGTCGTTCCCGACAGTCTTTAGAGCATTTCTTAATAATGTGTGCACATGATAAGAAACTACATTAATAAATAATCCCATCAGAAAATCTCGTGATGCAGCAAATGTAAAGTGAATAGTAATAAAGGTAACATTAATACGGGGAATAAAAATAAACTGGCTGTTTTACAATCGTCTTTACAAAGTCACAAATTCATTTATGGAGTAATGTATACGTGTCTATAGAAGATTCCGGTTGATATTAATTTTTTTCCATTGACGAAGTTTTAAATTACAGTGAAACAAAAACTTTACTCTAAAACATAGGTTCCCAAATTCAAAGCTTACCGCGCGATAAAAAGATAGATAATTCAGGTTTTTTTTTTCAAATGTGATAGCACCTCTTGGACAGCATCAACGTCCTCCAATGCTTCCGAAGCCCCTACCGCGCCCCAATAGGACTATTCAGCGCCCACTGGGGGACGGTAGGGACCACTTTGGGAAAGTATGCTCTAAAAGCTCTGCGTGCTTGGATGACAATAATCCATGGTAGTGAATCCATTTAGCTCTTGCAGGGGCCCTCAAATAAATATTGTAAATGATAAATATTTATTTATTTATAGAGAGCAACTTCTATAGTTTTTTACAAATTCTTCTCAGGGGAATCTGCTTTACGAATAAGTAGTAGAGGTTAAACATTATGACAAATCTCAAGTGTAATTTGTTTACCTATGAAATACAGATTATTTGAGTTTGAATCTTTAAAAAACGTTTTGATGTATGAAGTGCCTAAAGGTGAGTATCTATTAAATTGGCGCTCCAACTATGCTTTATGCATCTGCCACGGCTAAAATGGAGACATTACGCGCATCACTACAAAATAACCGAATAGTCCATTAGTTTTGCGCATCGACTCTGCTCCGCGCATGCAACTGCTCCACTTTTCATTTGAACGTTAAGCGAACATGTCGTCACCAGAATTAGTAGCTAGAGTGCGGCATACATTTTAATTGATTATATTCTTCACGAGTTAAATATTTCTCTTCGGACCACTTCATGGCTATGAATTCGCGTTAATTTAAAAAATCTTAGCGGAGCGCGGAGTATTTCTGATTGTGCCACTTTGCTATCGTTCGGCAATGTATGTTCAACTGATCATTTGCTTCTGCTCTGCAGCAACTCTGTCGACTGTAAACATTTATCATAGGAGATATTTCAAAAACTATTATCTGCTTGACAGAGCAAGAGACGTGGTTCGACAAACTGCATCACATCATGGAAGCGGTATGGGCATTCATATCAAGCTTCCTCGTTACGATGACGCGGCACCTCATGCGGCACTCTCGCGACTACCGATACGTTTCCCGAACGCTTACTTTAGAGAAGAAAGTACTTAAGGTCAGTCAAGTGGCTACATTATAAGCAGCGTTGCTGGACGTCCCTATTTAGGCAGAAATGTTTAAAATCGATTTCTATATATTCTGATCCAGTCATCGTCCTATTTAAAGCCCAGGTTCTTATTAGTGTAGCCTCCTCAACTCTTCCCGGTTCATATCCAACTCATTGACCTCTTTATAGCTGCTCACTTTGACGTTCTTCATTTGTTCACTGTACACCATTCTAATCTTCCTCTCTTTCTTTTACCGTCTATCTTTCCCTTAATTATAACTCTCACTAATTCGTCACTCACTACGTCCAGTAATTTTCTCCCTTCTGTTCTCTATTATCTTTAAAATTTATCTCTTCCCTAAACTTTTTAAAATTTTTCCTTTAAATATCATGTTAATTAATTTTATTTTCTCCATTCACCTATATTGTGCTATGTGATTATTTTGCTTATGTTATTTCAGTTTCATATTAAAAATAGATTGGTCGTATTCAATACAATGGAAAAATCTAGCAGCGATTACTTTATGGTTTATGTTCCATTTTTATAACACCAAAATTCGGTTTTTTACTTTCATTTCAAATAAGTAAATTCGTAAAATAGTTTGGTTATGCTGATACTTGGTTTATATTAGAAGAGGTCAGTGTAATATCTGTTGTACAACAACATTTTTTTTTAAGATTTGATATATGATAGTGAAAGACTTGAGTCATGTATTTACAGGAGAAAGAAGGTTTCGGCATAGGCCTTCGGGAAGGATCGCAAATGAGATGGGAACCCCTGCCCGAAACCCTCCTATCACGGTAAGGCATATTTACTAATGTCGAATTGTATTATTTCGTATTATATTAAACAAGACTTCGTCGCTTGAGTACTGCGAGTGCTTATGTGTGTGTAACATGATGGCCTTAGTGGTTCTTTGTGTTTAGTGTGAATAATTCATTAGATTGAAAAATCATACCAAACTGCGGAAAATGTAAACTGTTTACTTAACATATGCTAGCTCAACCGACCCAATACATGAAAACTCATTTTCTTTCTTTAAATTGATTTATATTAACGGCTTAAGAACTCTATATAAACAGTTTTAGGTTGCATAACGGCTTCCGTATACGTCCTTAGCTTGCAAAAGTACTTTTAAATGGCAATAGCGTAAACAAATACAACTTTTGACTTTACATTGATTAATTCAAGAATCTAATGGTTACTCGCGCTTTTAATAGGGCTTATTATCACTAAAAGCGATATAAGGGTTTATCTTGTGTCATTTAGACGCCGCTAATGTGCTGAGAAGAATTAAGGTTATAAAGCTTTAGGGTGGTTACGCGTTATTGGGTGGAAACAACAGCCAACGACGCCTTGTATTAACATTTAATTTTCTCGCAGTGAATTTCAGTAAAATTACTTTTATTTTTGTCAAAATAAATACGGCTAATAATTGCTTTCAATAATTTTAATAACAGTCAATAACTTTATATTTCACTGGTACAATTTAAAAAAAAATTTCTTCTGTTATAAAACGCATACATTTTATTCAAAATTTGCGCTAAGTGGGGTTTGTATAGTTTTACTGATTTATTGGCAGCCATTAAAGCGCTTTATTCTGTTGTTGTGCACCTATAATAGAACTGACGGCTTCATAAAATTGTGCCGAAATTGAGCTTGCTGCTTTAAGCCAGCACGCCATTTTGTAACGTTTACGTTTGACACTTTAGGATAAATAATCAGATTGGCTCTAAAGCTCTTATAAAGAAGATTTGTCTTGCTTAGGTAGTAAAAATTAAAAAAGGAATTTTACATTATATGATTATAATAGCCTAACCTACGTTACGCAAACATGCTCTCTGATCAAAAATCACAGTCCAAAAATCAAGGTTTGCCAAAGAGCGAAGGGAGGTAGCAAATATTAGGTGCAAACAGTAGAATCCGGAGATAGAAAGATATATAGAATCCGGAATATTACGCGGCTTTCGAATAGTATATCACAAAGAACGATATTAAGAAAAGAACTGCCACACCGAAATGAGACTAGGCTGACACATCTGTCACATGCACCCAGAAAGAGAGGGCTCGTACAGCCACTTCGTGAATGCTGGAGAACGGCCAGCGATGACGAGGCAGACCAAGAATAAGGTAGTGGTATTATACTATTATTTGAAAAGTCATATTCGCCATCTTGGATTTAGAAATAAGTGCTATATTCCTAATGCGCACCCCCAAATACCTCGAAAACGATCCCCAACTTGCCATTACTTGAACAATCGTGCCCGCCATCTTGGATTTAGAAATGAGTGCCATATTCGTAATGAGCACCCCCAAATACCTCGAAAATGATGCCCATATTGCATTTATTTCAAAAGTCGTGTCCGCCATCTTGGATTTAGAAATAAATGCCATATTCGTGATGAGCACCTCGAATACCTCGAAAACGATTCCCATATTGCATTTATTTGAAAAGACGTGTCCGCCATCTTGGATTTAGAAATGAGAAAAGTCATGTCCGCCTTCGTGTATTCAGATGCCATCAAATGCCATTTCCATAAGGATTACCAAAAATAAATTTTTGAAAATTCCTGTCACTTGACGTTGTCGATCAACAGTAACGATCGACAAAATCGAGCATATCTGTAGGCACCTGATCGACAGTAACGATCGACAAAATCGAGCAAATCTGTAGGCACCTCTAACTTAACGATGAGTTAAGTAAGATACAATTTCCCCACTTTTGAGGGAAATGTTATTCCATGGCATCATTATTTGTATATTTGTGTGCGTGCCGACGAGCGGAAATACAAGTTACTTACGCCTACATGAATTTGATTTTTGCCTCACTTGTGATAGTTCGTTTTTTATGAAACTATCATTCTATGCGTTATTATTCTAAGATTAAACCTATACTTTAATATGAAATTCATAGAGAGGCTTTAGTTGACCTACTTTAAGAGGTGACAATAACTTTACAGATAAGACAACTGCTATAAATAAAGTAATTAATAGTTATTTTTTATGCAAGGCTGCAAAGTTGTTGTTTCACGCGAGAGCTTAAGACACGAGACGCAAAATAACTTTGCTGCCGAGCGAAACACACAACTTTTCACCTCACTATAACGAGGAAAATGGTAGATGAAAGAAAAACAGTTAACTATAATAACAAATCCGTTTTTTTTTCATCGAAAGAAAAGGTTGGGTGCATCACATTGTGTCGACAAGTTCGAATTTCAAAAAACTTCCTACTTAACAGATTTCTAATAAGAAAAAATGACTTTCCGAGCTAGTGAGGTGAAAACTATTTTTAACAAAGTGATGTTTATTTTTAAGTAAGTACAAAATGTTGTACTCAAGAAGTTCTTCGAAACTGTATAAGGGACCGGCCTGCTATTGCGCCAAATCGCGAGTTGTGTTGAACAATGACAAGCTAATTTAAAAAAACACAATATTGAAATAAAATATTTACTTATCTAATTATTTATATTTACCGCAGTTTGGTGTCGGTTTGGTTCAGTACATAGTTAGATCTAGTGATAATTAGTAAGTAGTGTATTGATATTATTTTTGCATGCTACCGAGTAGAGATGTGGATAATCATGACGGCAACCTTCTCGTGCCCATTATGGATTTCGGGTTTGTATTTAATTTGTTGTTATAGACCATTTAAATGAGGTATCACGGTCTTGTTCTCATTCGTACATTACTGTTTCTACTAAGTGCTAATACGGCCTGGTTAATACCGTGGACCATTAATACAAGAGGACTGCTAATCGCGATACACGGCGTAGTCCGATATTTGGAATAGAATAGAAGCCATTAATTACATAACGCCACAACATAATAATACACAGTTAGAAGTTAGTAGATGTCATGTGTGCGGCTGTGGCGTATGTAAAAGGATCTACTCAGCTAATGTCAGCGCCGGGAAAAGGCTGTGACGCTGATTTTCAGTGGACCCTAAAACCGAGTGAGTACCGGACGTGTGTGTCGCATATAAACTAAAATTAAATAACGTATATATTTCTGTAATGTAGTATTTAGTACCTATTGGAACACCAGATGTTGCGACGAGTACCAAATAGCTTTTTTACCGACTTTAAAAAAGAAGGAGGTTCTTAATTGTACTGTATTTTTTTTGTGTGTATGTTACGATCATAGATTTAGTATATCCATAGATTGGCCCTGAAGTATTGGAGACGAGACCAAAACAAAAATACATCTGTGTGTGTATAATGTGCAAGATAAATAGTGTTGCGCCATCCACTGATTTGAACTTTAATATCGATTAACATATTACACCGGCATTTCACTTCGTCGTATTCACCAAAATGTCTTGTCCCAAAACGCCGAGACGTAAATAACTAATTAATTAATGATTCAATACAAAATTAAGAAAGCTACTATCACCTTCTGGCAGTGCGATAGGATGGTAGGTAAACAATGGGGACTTTCACTCAAGATAACACTACAAAACGGTGATAAGACCCATGATCAGCTACGGCGCGATAGTATGGTGGCCACGAACCAAGCTGACGACCGACACGCAACCGACAAGCTGGACAAATTGTAAAGACTAGCCTGCATAGCGACGATTATCTGCATGAGGACAACTCCAACGGCGGCCCTCGAAGCGATGCTGGACCTGCGACCGCTCCCACTGTTCATTAGACAGGACGTGACGTCAGCAGCAGTGCGTCTAAACAGAACCGGCCTTTGGAAGCACATAAGGATCCCTCGTACAGAAATTCTTTATAAGACTGTTTGTTTTGTGTTTTTGTTTTGTGAAAGAGGCGCCGCTGCTGGAGGCGGCTGTGGATAGAATCCAAAAACAATACATCTTTGACAAAAAATACAAGATACAACTGTTTGAAGATCCCAACGAAGGACTGAACCCCAGGGAGGTCCGCGTCTTCACTGATGGATCGAAAACAAATTCAGGAGCAGGTACTGGGGTATTCTTAGAATTCCTCAATATCAGGATATCAACGCCGCTTGGCGACCACAACATAGTATTCCAGGCTGAATGCATGGGCATCAAGTTGGCGGCAGAAGCAGTCATAGCGAGAAGAGTAAAGAATCACTCCATTCGAATACTCTCCGACATCATGTCAGTACTTCAAGCACTGAACAGCTATGACATAAACTCAGGGCTCATTTATGAATGCCATCAAGCACTCATGGAGGTATGTATACAAAACCACGTAACTCTACAGTGGATTATAGGACACAGCGGCTCACGTGACAATGACGCAGCAGAAAAATGAACTAGCCAGAAAAAGGTCGGAGACAGACGCTGTCGGACCAGAACCCCTAGTGTCACTCCCCTACCAATGGTCCAGAACAACTATACACAAAGGTACAAAATCTTCACATAATAACACATGGACCACTCTTACGGTTTGTAGACAGGCGAGGGAAGCACTCCCAACGCTCAATGCCAGCCTATCTCGGATATTAATTAAACACAAAAGGCAAGAGCTTCGCACTCTAACTGCCGCCTTCAACTACGCTATTAAAAGAAATTTTCGTTTTAATGTAGACAAAAAATAATGCACTAATGCAATATTAATTAAATATAAAGTACTAAAACCAGAAATTTCTGGTTCAATAATATTAAGCAAGCCACGCCTTTGCCTTTCTTTTTTTCAGTTAATGACATCTCGATAACATATTATCGATTGCGTCAATCTCTATGAAAGTGGGGTTATGAATTTCAGAAATTCACGTATTAGATATAATTTTTAATTGAATTCGTATACATTTGGATTATTAATGCACTTGAATGGTATAATTTTACAGATATATTTATGTAAAGAACTTTTGTGGTAGTGCTTTTAGACAGCTAAAAATTTAAATAGTGCTTATATGTGAAATGTACAATTCTGCGAGTTTTCCTTTTTAGATGAGTAACATCCGGGCACTGAACACTTTACCATGACTAATAAACGTCCGTTTAACACTATTTCACATTTTAAAACCAATTATTTCTCAAAAATAAACGAAATTTGTTTCATTGTCAGCTGACCTTAGGTTCATACAGGCTCATAGCGTATAATGAAGTCTCGTCTACACATCTCGCTCTAACATACGTGTATACTAACTTTAACTGCCTCCGTGGCCGAACGGTTACCATGCCGGACTGCCATGCAGAGGTCCTGGGTTCGATTCCCAGGCCGGGAGAAATATGTGTATGGCCTACATTTATTTCTCGTGAATTTGGGTGTAATTTGTGGTTGTCTATGTGTGTGTCCATGGCACCCGCGACACAGGGTTTCCCTAGTGCGGGGCTATGTTGAGTGTGTGCGTTATTATTATTATATTATTATTACTAACGCTCTTTCACTTGCGTTGCCAATCTATGGGTACCTATATACTAAATCTATAGTTAAGCTATTACTCCGGCGCTATTTCTATTGGTGTGTCGATTTTGATGATACATTTTTTTTGTTAAAAAGAGGGTATTGGGCCCCTTTAAATTTGACTTTTAAGGGTAGCAAATTAGGGGATAAATCAGATTTATTGGGTTTCAACCACTTTCCGTTAGCCGTTTTCAATAAAACTTGGGAAATAGACGTAATGCCACGAACTTTTGAAATTGGTTTTTTTGTAATGTAATGTAAACTAATAAAAAAATGTAACTAATTTGTTTTACACTGACGAGCTGCAATTGATCAAAACTACACTAATTTCTAGTGATAACAAACAAACCAACTAAATGGCGCTTTTTGTAACTTATGTCGCTCTCGCGCAAATCGCACACTGTCGTGCTAGCCCTACTGACTTCTGAAATTTCATATTAAAGAGGAATTAATTGATATCCACTGCCGTTTACATAATATAAACCAGGGTTGTTGCTGATGCAGGTTTTCTACACATCAGCAACCGCTGGTAGTTTGATCTTAACATCAGCGGAAGTTGACGCGGATGCTGATTTTAGGTATTTAGAAAAACTTGAAATATGTACATCCTTATTGAACATATACATGAAAAAGCTTTCTATTTTCTTTGTTATTGTAATAAAATATTATTTCAATAATTTTATGACATTTATTAACAAAAGAATCAAAACAAGATTGATTACTAGCATGATCGTTGTGGAATTTCATCATAGTTTTATGTTAAAAATTTACAAACAAAAACTGAGCTGCTTTTTCGGCTCACTGAAACGGACGGCGTCTGTTTCTGGAAGGTTTGTAAAGCATGCCTTTTAGGTCATGTCATGACCCGAACATCCGCAATGAATATCAGCGTCGATGAATGCGGATGCTGATATTTTAACTTACGAAGATTATCCGCGGATGCGGATGCGGTTCCTGATATTCGCAATAATCTTAATATAAACCACTTCTAGGCTATTGATCACAGCCATCTAGATATAGTTACGTTCTGTAGTATAAAGATTAGCAGTCTTTTTGAGTCATTTGTCCATATTAATACTAATGTTTGGAGACATTCTTGTTAAAACTTTTGTATGAAAACAAGACCGTGACATACCACGATAAGCTAGTCTGCGTCTTAGGTAGAGCGCGACGGGGGGAGACATCAACTTTTGCGTTCCACTCTATCATTAAACTGTCACAATTTTGATATGCCAAGAGAAACAGTTGTAGGTATCTATTCGGTGACCCCTGACGGACTTGTTTTTAACATTGGCTTTGACAATTTCGTATAATTCTTCAATGAATGAAATGTAAAAAATTAAAATACTACTGCTAACGCCAGAGTGACAGAACTCAGCGATAAGATTGGTCCTTCCTTCGCCGTTAGCTACTATACGATCACACTATAGTAAACGTTATAGTACCACTCAATCAACAAGCTTTAGTTTCTTGGTTAAATTATAGCGTGAAATAGTTAGCGCATGGTTAAATAAACACTTTTGTTTTAGAGAATTCCAACCTACGTAGAAGTAGCAATCATTGTCATGTGTGTTAATTTATTCATTGTTTGTCCATATTATGAGAAAACGTAATGAATTAACAAAAAAATTATAATTGGTGTAGTTAGAAGCTTAACGCAATGCGCATTGACGACACTAATATTAAATATTATTGGGCTAGGCTTACGGTTCAGGTGCAATATTGGCTACGAAACAAAGTGACAGTTGCACGATGTTTGCAGCCGTAAGTTAAGCGAAATAAGTGTGCCGGAGATCCGCATCTTGGCGCCAAGCATGGAGCGCGGGCTGGACGAATCGCCGCCATCACGTCGTCACTCCGGCCACTCGCCGTCCTCGGATACAATCTCAGATGATGACGATGACACCTCCGAACACGAAAGCGCGTTTAGTATGGAGTCTACCGAAAGGTGTAGTGATTTGACTCGAACAGAACTTATACCTGCCTGACAAACAAATGTTGCTACTAAAAGCCTATGTACATAGCATGTACATGGCGTATTTTTTATGTGCTGGCGACGTTTAACGCGCGTTTACTGCACCATAAAAGCTCATCATGAACGTATTGCATACGTTACTAAGTTACTGGCTGCGACTGTATCGCGTTAACGCGCGTCATCTGCGCATCGTCCATCCGTAAAAAATCTCTACGCCGTGTGCATAGCCTCTAAGATAACACGGAATATATTTGTGTCAGTATTATTATAATTATGATGTTATCCAGTGGAAACCTGAACCAATTTACGCAATATTCAGTTACAATTATCAAATCGTTATTTTATGTACAGAAAACAATCTCGATTATCATAATAATATAATAAACGTCAGTATAAGTTCTGTTCAATAAATGTCGTCGCTTGCGATGGGCTTCGCTATGTAACGAATTTTTCAATATCACTCCTCGTATCTTTCTTACTCGTTTCTATGGCACGTCGTTGCAGCTTTTTTCGTCTTATTCTATATTGATAATAAATATGACCATTGGACACGTAAGTACATGTATAGTTAATATTGCATATGGTATTACCTAGGCTAGGGACAAATACAGCAAAAACCCCACGGCAGAATTAGCCAACCAAACGACAAGTTAAGATCGATTCATCCGAAGAACAGAGTCCAATGTGATTATATAGCGAAAAGAGAATAAGTACGATACATAATAATTTCATTATTCAAACTAAGGCCTACGTAAAGGTGTTTTGAGAATTTATATATCTTGTTTCGTTTTGGAAATTATAAAATTGAACAATAGTCGATCTGACATTCACAGCGAAGAAGAACGAACGAAATGTACTATGTCCTGAGAATAAGTAGCCTTGCACATAGACCTTTATTCTACGGATGTGTCGAGATACTTGCGAATTTTGGGCAAAGTAAAAGCCGTTTTTTTCTACATGATTTGCTCCCAGTGTATGACTTAAGTCTTTAAGTTTACTTTTAAGATTAAGATCTCGCATGTATATTGTGAACTATTTATGATAAGAGAAATGGTGCTAAAACTTCAATGCTAATTTCTTACCAAATTGAGAACACAAAAATTGTTGTTTGTTACACAAAAATCATTGGCTACACATGACAATAAGCTTAATAAATTGGTCAATATTTTGCATGAACTTAACAGAATATTTTTGTAGGCAGTGAAAAAACATGGTGTATTTTTTTAATGTACAAGGAAAGGTATGGTTGCATGCTTAATCGACTATTTAGTCTGTGAGGCGTATAAATGGGTTGATGATGATGATGAGGATGATGATATGGGAAGAAGAAAAATAATTAGCGTGATTTTAAAAGTGTTGTTATTCACATTAACGCATCCTCAAAAAGAGTTCAGCAGTTTATTCACATATTTCTCTTGTTTTTATTTATAAAATCATAAATAATGACATGTGAAAGCGAATGATTTCGCATTACATCATAAAGGTGTATTCACAATAATAAATGCCTTACAGCAAAGACGTGACAGTGTTAGAAGAACAAGACGACTCGATGTTCAAGCAGCAGAAGTCGGTCATAATTCACCTTGTCTACGCCATTTGGTTCGCAGTTCTCGCGCATACAGATATCGTCTGCTATATTATGGTCTTTATAAATCAGGTCAGTGAGTTTTTATTTGTACTTACTTAGCTGTTCTTTAATTTATTATTCGAACTTACATGAGTACACTAGTTAATCGTCTTTAAACATTCTCTTAATATATCTATACCTCCAATGAACACTACGCGGCCATTGGTCATTTTCTGTTTTTATTTTGTTTATTATTTCACAAAATGTGTTCTTTTGTTCTTTTTTTCGAATTTTGTTTTTTTTTCACGAAATTCGGTGTGTACAATATAGTAAATAAATAAAGCTGTTTACATTAATAACAGAAATTGACCCAAAATTAAGTTGGCGTAGTATTAATTGGAGGTATCGATATGGAACTGGTATGCCTGTACTTAATAAATCTGCTACTAACAAGCCTTCTACGCATTAGCTACATATCTATAACTATCTAAAATACTGGCCTATCTCAAAAAAAAACCTAATACACCGGGACGATGATTTAAAAAACTAGGTCGGTTCTGTCGCTCATAGCCAACGACTTGTGCAGTTGATAATTGTAGACGTATTGTTTTAATCAACGGAACTATTTCGATTTGTATCACTATTCTTCAAAAGCAGGAATATGCTAGTTACCTTACATCTGCCTGTTACGGAGATGCTGTCCTGGCTCACAACTATAAGACGCATATGTATTGTGGCCGTAATATTCCGTCGTACAGATAGAAATGTCATTATTATTAAATTAGGAAGGTTATACGAGAAATACAACACTATCTTGTACGGGGCTATATTCTGGCCACATAAATTTGCTTAATTGTGACCTAGCACCACCTTGCGCTTTATCACAATGCACTAAAAAACGTATGGGCAAGTAATGAGCTCTAGTTCGCGTTCTTTAATTAATAAATTTGTTTATTCTTGACTAAAATAGAATCCAGAATTCGAATCGAAATAATAATTTACTGTATTTATTTCAGATACAATCCGCTACTATCCTGTCAATTCCTCTACCATTAATGGTGTTCTTATGGGGAACACTTACGATACCGCGGCCTTCGAAAACTTTCTGGGTCACTCTTATTGCCTATACTGAGGTAAGATTCTTTTATGATTATCTATGCGTTTCTTACAGATTTTTGTACTATAATAGCTTTAGACGGCTTTTTTGCCGTCAGCGCCACCTGTGAGAAACTCGTGTACTTTCTTCACTCAGTTGAGTACTTTTACAGCTACCAGAAGTTAACGAGAGGTGTCACACTGTATTAATTTGTTTATTGAAAATCATGTTTTACTACCATGATATTCATGTATTTTCTTTTCATATATTATTGATATAAAGGTCGAACAACATAGAGAAAAATTCCGTCGGTCCGAATTGGTATGAAACCAGTGTTTATTGCTATGCCAAAGCCACAAATATATGGATGTCATGGTGGTAAAATATCATGATGTTCAATGGATTATATATATTATATGCGAATATAATATCTATAATCCATTTTTCGTCAATCGTTTATGTCAGCACATGAAAAACATGTAACCGCGACATGTATTATGTTAAATAAATGCAATTGTCTGTGTATTGCAGGTAATCGTCCTAATAAAGAGCATGTTCCAATTCGAGATCCTACCGTGGAACCAGAAAGTGATTCCGGCAAACATGCCCTTCACTGCTCCGCGAATCATCGGCATCGAGAGGAAGTCTAATTATGCGCTTTATGATCTGCTATTGCTGCTTATCATTTTCCTTCATAGGTATGGAAAATTAATTATCCGTTACAAGCTGAGCGGTGAGGATTCCAAGCAAAATAGGTGCTACGTCGAATTACAGAAATAACCAGTTTATTCCGTACCAATCACTTATTGCGACCTGTCAGATAAATTCTGCGACCTTTGAATTTTGCCGTCCAGTTCCAAATCCCATGAGGCGGAATAGGGTATCGGATTGAAGTCTTATCGCAGATGGCCTTTCCTAAAAGGATGTATGATGATTATCAATCCTTCACATTGACCAATGAGATAATTCTTGCCATTGTGGTGAAAGCATTTGCCGTAAACTGAAGCACCTTTCGTGCACCACAAACACTGTAGTGTATGCCATTGATATGACAAGAAAAAAAAACCGACGAGATCTTTCTTTGAGTCAAGTGTTCAGACAAAATACATTACAAAGAACGAGAACGCATAAATGTCCTTATGTTTCAAAATCCCTTAGAAAATGAGATAACACGTTCTTATTTTTAGGAAACCTAATAACTTGTTTCATAGGAAATTCTTCGAAATTCTGAATCGCAGTCAGCCGTGACCATGGGCCTAGAGCCCAAAACGTTGCTTTCTTTGAAAAAACAAATATACGCAATTTACATCCGAAAAGATATTTTAATTTCTTTTTATAACATCAAGTGACGAGACGAAAAAGTCGTGCGCCTGATGGTGGAAGCTACCCGCCTGACCATAACAGTTGCAGTGCCACTCAGAGCTTTAATTTGCAAAGATCTGAGGGGCACTACCACTGCGCACGTCTCCCTGAGACATAAGTTGGCAAGTCCCATGTGCGTGTAATTTCACCAGCACTGTTACCCTTCAAAACCGGAGCAGTAATGTGCTGGGCGGCAGAAATGGGTAAGGTGGCAGTACTACTCTGGACGAACTCTTTCACAAGGAGCTCTAATGCTACTAACTTCCTAAATGTGATAACAATTCTAATAAAGCTTACATTCAAACTACAACAAACTCAATGAAAATATGTACAACTGACGAGACGAACAAGTCGTGAGCCTGGTGCTAAACGAGAGTCTATCCATAACAGTTGCAGTGCCGCTCAGAGTGCTTTTTTATATGAGATATTATTGTAACGTCTTATCGTGCAACTCGAGCACAGGCGACCCAAAAAAGACGCAGCAGTTACTTCTGAAGCCACTTGTGGATTTTAACTCCCGACTACTTTTCGGGCACTGAAAGAAATTCGTCATGTACTGTATCGTCGAATGGGTAGACCGCACAGATACGCATTCTATCTGCTAGGTTTTCTTCGCAACGGCCTAGACCATTCCAAAGATGCTTTAGCGCCTCTTACACTGTATGATCTCTGTTTTAGCGTAGGATATTTTTCACGCAACGTATTTAAATAAGGAACACACCTTTGACTGAATAGTCACTGGCTTCCCATTCAACTCCGCAGGAATGTTCATACTGTTTTCATTCTCTATAATATTCTGCACAACCGTATGTCTCCTCTCTGGGTATCTGAAAAACCGATTCAGCTATCTCAGGTCTCAGGATAAGTCTTGTTACTCTCACGTTATGTCCCAGTTATCTTCTCCATCCTTCAATTCCGGTTTTTATTCTCACTCCTTCACTGTTCATGCGCTCAGACTTTGGAATGCACTTCCCATTACTGTTCATGATAGTAAATCCATAGCAATTTTCAAAATGAGAGTTAAGAAGCACTATTTAACGGCAGTTCCATCCATTTTGTAGATATTATAGTACGAAACATGTATATACCTAAGTATTTATATAGTTTTAATAATTAATGTTTTTGATATTGTTTTTTTTATTATTACATAATTTTTGTTTTGTTGTGCACGTAAACCCGTTATTGTAATTATTGTCTCCTGTATTTCGGTCTGCAGAAAGAAATTTCTGTTAGAAATAAGCTGACCTTTTGTTTGTGTTTTCCTCGTTACTTAATATGCTTTTGTTTTTTCTGTACAATAAATAATAAAATTCCGTCACGAATCAAGGAACACAATGTCTATCGTCAATTAAATTTTATAGTCTCTTTAATTTGTGTCCTGAAATTTTTCACATTATTTTCACATATTATTCAGGTTCATGCTAAAATCTCTGGGCCTATGGAAAGAAACGTCTCCTGACATCGAATTACGTGTAGATAAGGAATACGATTTACAACCCGATGATATACAAAACTTAGTCGTTGGCCGCAGAGCTGAGGTTGGCAAGAAGTACATCAAACTGAACGACCGCAGTGGACCGTGAGTGTGCTATTTTTTTTTATAACTACGCCTTACATTCTTTGACTCTTTACACAAAATAACCATTGTAATCAAGTTTGTTTTTAAATTTCTTTTTCTGCTCACATCTCATTAAAACCTTCAACTAGTTCAAGGTGAACTGAGACATGTTATATTCCTATCCTGCTATAAACACATTATCCACATTTGTATAAGTTCTCGGTGTCCCTGTAGGGTAGAGAATTCGACAAAGCATCGCTTGGCAAACAACACCGCTTAAGTCATTTCGAGAAATTGTAAAAGTAAACGAAAATACTGAGTAATTTAAATATTATATATTTTTTAAGTTATTGTTATTTGTAGGTGCTCTATTTATGAATAACAAATTAATTGTATGTGTTGGTATACTTTTTTTAATTTGAAAAGGCCCGAAACGCACGGGCGTTTATATCGGCCTTGTTGGTATTCTATTATTGATATTGACGGTTTAATTTTAATGTACCTAACGTTTAAAAATAAAAATCGCAATTTTTTTACTTTAGCGGTGTTTTCCTGAAGCGACAAAATTCTATAGTTAAAATTGGATAGAGTTATGGCAGAACAGATAGTTCAATGTGTAGTGTACGGATCAGACAGTCGTCACCCGCTCGTGGACCGCCTGTACCACGTGGCGATGACGATCGTCGCGGCTATACACGAGCTGAACACGACGCGCTCCGACCCGCAAGTGATACGTCTGGTGCAGCAGCGGCTGCAGGAACGATCGCCACGGTTGCCTTATACCCGGTGGCATTTGTCCACACAACTGCGGCGCATTGCCACGGATCCGCGTCATTGGCCTGCACGCCGGTCATACCCATCCGTTCAACTGCGGAGTTCGACCCTGCAATTGCGGCAATCATCGTCAGACGGCTCGAGTGAACTGTGCAACTCCTGCATTACGGACCCATTGTGCACTTTTGCGCGTATACGTCACCGCCTACATCACCGATCGGAAATGAACATGCTCCACGAATATATTCAAATGTATGATATGTTATGTTCTCTTTGTTAGTGATCAAGTACATTCATTTTTACTTTTTTCATCGTTATCTGCTAGAATTTTCATAGTATACACTAGCACTAAGCTGATAGATTTTAAATACATACTTTATTAAATAAATCTAAAAGCAACATCAATGTGCAAATACGGTTTTAGTTAGAGCTCATTCTGTAATGAATACGTAAGTAGCATCGTTGGTAATAACTAGTTTTATAGTTAGTTTTTATTATTGATTAATACATTTAGTTTACTCATTATATCTAGATAAAATTAGTGACACTTGATCACGGTTTTTAACAATCCCGTGACAGCGTATGTATAGGTACTAATCAAAATTAACCTTTGTATTTTATAGAAGTAGATAATATTAAAAAAGAATTTGAATCCCGTAGGATAGTCTCAGTCCCGGTATTTGCAGGATTGAAATTTTCTGATCCCACGGGATCCGGGCATTTTCTGGATCCCGCAGAAGGCTGAAAGACTTCGAGAAAAAAGGCATGTCATCAAACTACAAGTTTGTGAAGGGCTAAAATTCAAAGTAAGAAAGGATATTATTAAGTTCTTTATTGAGATCAATCACAATAAGGTAAATTTAAGTATTATTTTGGAAGTACCTGACTGCGCAAAAAGTTAAAGTATTGATAGTTTCGTCCGCTAATGCTCCTGATCTTACAAACTCTCAGGGCGCATTTATTCGACACGAACTTCATCGTGGTCACGCCGCGCAGCGACCGCGTGCATCTAACTGTCATGGCAAAGTACGCTCTATTTATTTAGCTTTTACGTTTTAACTTAAATGAGCATCCCTGACGCGCGCGGGCGAGGCTGGCTTGTCTTTGGTCTACGCGGAGACCTTCCACCCTGGGAATAACTGTTATTGTGCTTCATAGGTAAACTGAAGATATGAACCTTTTAGTCCACACATATCATAATAGTACTTTCCTTAGCTGAACTACAAGGTTTCTACCTCTAATACCTAAATAGGTTGATAAATAAATCTTCCAAATATTTAGATTTGGCACAAATTTTATATTTTGTCGGTAAATGCACATACAAGTCTTTAATGTTCTATCGTTTTAAAGATCGATTTACTTAAGCTACATTTCACTATCTGTGAATTTTCCACCTTCAAACACTACAGCCACACAACATCAACTCTTGCAAAGTTAATATACATAATCATAAGAGCCTATGCACACGGCGTATTTTTTTACGCTGACGACACGCGTTAACGCGATTCAAGCGCGCCGATCAACACATTTCATCTTCTTATGCGCTATGCCGCATATACCGCGAGATCCCGCTCATTTTACGTGCGGGATCAATCCCGCAAAATTGGTGCGGAATCCCAATAGTTCGAGATCGTAATCAATCCCGCAAAATTAGTGCGGAATCCCAGTAGTTCGAGATCCCAATATTCCGATATTCAATTCCTTACTAAGTACAATATCGACTTCTCTCTGACTCTGACTTTACCTACTTTGATTACTTCTTCACTAATTGTACCTTCTTCGCTACTTTGTCGAAGTTTTCGTCTTGTAAAAGCTTAAAAAGGCTTAATGTGTGGTAATTATTGTTCGTACTATCACTTGATATTATAAAAAATATTCTAGGGACGAGGATACTGGCGACGTGGACAACGAAACGCCATCAAGTAGCCGACCACACAGTAAATCAGGTGTTAGGTCTAATAACGTCGAGATACCCAGTGGTAGCGGATTGCAAGACGTCAAAGGAAATATGAGAAAAAAGGATGGCCCAAACGAAAATAAAGACGGAGAACCATCCAAGTCCGTAGAAACTGACGATGATCATTACGAGTAAGTGTTCAACTTTGCTACATTGAATAGTATATTGTGTTCTTTTTATGATATCAAGTGACGGGACGAACAAGTCGTGCGCCTGAAGGTAAGCTACGCGACTGTCCATAACAGTGCAGCTCCACAGCAGCAGTGCCACTCAGAGCTGTAAATCGCAAAGATCTGAGGGGCACTGCCACTGCGCCCGTCACCCTGAGACTTATGTCTCCATACGCCTGTAATTTCACCAGCACCCTTACCCTTCAAAACTGGAACGCAGTAATGCTGACATTACTGCTTGGCGGCGGAAATATGTAAGGTAGCAATACTTCCCTGATTATTTTAGACAGGGTCCGATAATTATCTTGGTAAATATACCTGAATATTTGTAAAATTTTTGGAACTACAATATGCTACACTACAAATTTTCTAGGGTGATCCCTGTGACACTTCACAAAATTCTACATAATATAACCTTGTAACGTCCACTAATTTACGTATTTTATAAACTATTTTTAAAAGTCTAAGCAAATACATAAAATTAAAGTAAAAGTAACACCAAATTAGTGAGAAATGAGCTGAGATGCTATTTTTTTTTTTCAAAATTAATTTATCTTTACGACAACGAACAAAGGTTACTTCATTAGACTGCATTTGCTAGACATGAGGTATATCGATAAAAAGTTTTCGAGAATTTAATGAATAAATATAGTGCGTACACGAGTTTAATCTATTAGGTAATTAGTTATATGATATTAATGTTTTTAATCTACATTATGAGTTGTTTTTAAAATATCAATTGAAATGGCATTTGAATGTAGTTGTGTATTTTATGCCTTCAATGCAATAGAAAACACTTCGTACATCTATGCAACAGGTAGGAGGGGTCCAGGGGTAGAGGGGTTGTTTCTCGCGATCACTATAAACATAGCACGGAACAATAAAAAATACGTGGCACATACAAGCTGTCAGCGCTCGTAATTAATTAAATTGACACATATGTGTGTACATGTCAAGATCTAAGTCAAAAGTGTTCTTGAACAATTTCATCGATTTTAGGACGCTATAATTGGTTGTATATGCAATTATTATTGTTCACCTATCACTGGGGATGGCTACTGAATCATAAACAAAGACTGCATTTACAATTAATTTGTTTCTTCTCCGGTACCTACTCCATAGAAATATCGTATCGGATATCAAAAATAAAATAAATATTATTTTACACAGTTCATAGGAATTAATTATTTTAAAAACTCAATTTTTTTTAACCGTAATATTATATACAAGGTGTAATATTATATATGAGAGAACCTTTGTTTCAAAAATGAATTAAACCAAAAATCTATCGACTTTACCTCATTCCTATGACGAAGTGTCACAGGGATCATCCTAGAAAATTTATAGTATACTGCAAGCAATGTTGTGCCATGCCTTTTTTTTAATATTAATACCTTTGCCTTCGCGTTTAGCCAATGAAAGGGTTGGGAAAGCAGATTTACAGATTATGAAAGGGGTACGGAAATGGAATGAAAAAGGATATGGCAGGTAGAGTAGCTATTAAGGTATATACATATTAAAGCTTAATATTATTATTTTCGATTAATAAGGTCACTATATTATAAACATCTTTGTTACATGAATACAATATATGGAGGTTATGGAGGTGGGAATGGGATACTGATTTCCAAGAGTTCGGATATGAAAGTATCGTGGTCATTTGAGGGACAGGAAAAAAAGATATGGTTTAGATCCCCATAGGCCCGCATAAGCATGCAGGGTCATTGTATCAGACGTATTCAAACGTGTCAAATATCAATCTCAAAAAAAGTCACTAACCAAATAGTTTTCCCAAATATTTTTCTTGCCAAAAATTAAAGAGACAAAACTATGATTCAGCATGGATAATTGTAATAATAATTCGGAACCCTGATATTAGTTCACTCACTTTAGGCATTTTTCGTATTTTAATCAGGGAGTTGAGTTAACGAGATTTGATGCGATACGTAGGAATGACTGCTGCATACAGCTTGTCCTAATAGCTGGTTCTTTGTCGACGATTTAGTGACAACGGACAACTATAATTAAGGCTGTCAGCGCAAGAGCGGTGTAAATGTAATAATTCAATATCTTTTCTACAATATTTAAATTATACTAAAAGTGGTTGTGCACGGCTTCAATTATAGTTCAATGTTGTGTTTATTGATGGCGCTTTAAAATATTTCCTGTGTAAGGGATTACGAATTAACGACGTTGGTGGCTCAATGGTTGGCACTGTGGACGCTAGATGAGGAGGTCCCGGGTTCGAGTGCCGGCAGGATCACTTTGGAAAATCAACTTTTCTTAATTAATTCTGGTCTGGTACTCTTTACTAAGTCACTACTTAGTTCCTCAGTTTGGGATCAGTTGGTGTGGTTGTCTGGTATTTAAGCGTGAAACACACAGAGTGAGGGTGCGAGTCGAGCGCGTGTCGGGTCGGGCGCTCGGTGGGTCTAATTCCGCACGCGCTCGCGCTCGATGTGTTGTCGTCCATATAAATCATCGACATTATGGGCGTTGCCCATTAACAACAAAAGATGAAATGTAGTAAAAAATACAATTGTCATATTTTTATTTTCATACTTTTAGAAAAAAAACGTACTCCAGGAAAAAAACGGTTTCTTTTCATCATTGACTTACAATGCTTTTCATGTATTTTTTTCATTGTTTTTTTTTCACCTCAGAAAAAAAAACGGTTTTTTAACAACACTAGTCAAGAGCATACAAGTTTGATACTTTGTACTTTTGGACCATTTTTATATAAGCAGCTTAGAATTGAATTATCATTTTTATATTATAGGTATATGTATACATACGTTACACGTGGTTTGACCCTGTACATAATGCAATATAAACTAAAACAAAAACTAGCTGTCCTTTTTTCATCAAATCTCAAATCGAGATAATGTTCCTACTGCGTCCGTGTATCTATCATCAATCTATATATTAACTGCCTCCATGGACGAACGGTTACCATGCTGAACTGTCACGCAAGAGGTTCCGGGTTCGATTCCCGGATCGAGAGAAATATTTATATGGCCTACTTTTATTTCTCTCGCGAGTTTGGATGCAATTTGTGGTTGTTTATGTGTGGGTCCATGGCGCCCGCGATACAGGGTATCCCTAGTGCGGGGCTATGAGTGTGTGCGGTATTATTATTATTATATCTATTTATCAACACATGTATTATTCACATCGGCTTAGTTAATTCAACTATATATTCGCTCTTTATACAGAGTCGACGACGATCAAGAACCAATAATCGCAGTGACAACAACATTAGAAGATACGTACGATAACTATCCTCGAGTTATATGGCTTTCGTAAGTGTTTTTTTGCAATCTTTGAAAATTGGCAAACATATGGATGAAAACTGATGATGACGCTTGATCAAATGTGGATACAACTACCACCTGTGGGCTGTAGTAATTAAAGTTTAAGCGGATCGAAGGATTTTTTCTAAGTGTTCGATCTTTGTATTAATAACAAACTGGTGAGAGTAATTTTACAAAAACATAATTGAATGTAATGGTGGTGAAACACTGACATTCAATAAAAAATAACTTTATTACAATTATTAAAGCGACATTTCTAGTCAGCTGCTGGTAGCTGTTAAGGTATCTGGCTCAGTGAAGAAATAGATTTCTCACAGATGACGCTACCGCAAAAAAGTCATTAAAAACCAAAAACAAGGCTCTGTAACAAGCACATAGAAAAATTCGTAAGGTTCGCTGGTTCGTTCCGTTGCTTAGTTGGCATAGTGTCTGGCGCGGTTTCCTAGAAGACTTTGGTATGAATCCAGCCGGATCGAAGGAATGTTTTAAATGTTCGATCTTTATATTAATAATTAAGCATCTATGTTTTTATTACAAGAATTAGGACGCGTTCAAATTAGCCGCTGTTAGAAGCGCTGCATCCGCGCGGCGGCCGCGCTGTTTAAATTTTTAGTGATGTTTTTATCTTTCGACTCAGTTACGTGATGGATTCTGACGAAGAAACACTATTTTTACCTAGTTCTTGGGCATACACTTCACATATAGGTATTAAAAATGACTCACCTGCAATTTGTTGTAGTCAGTTTCAAAATTGTCAATAAATTTTAGACATATTTTCCCATGCCTTTTTTATCAAGTCGATTGGAATAACTGGCGAAACTGCTATCCCATATTGCAGGGTGTTGTTTTACATTCTCTATAAATTCTTTAATTCGATTTTCGTCCAAATTGCTAATTTGAAAAATTGACATGTACCTCACTAGTCACTACCCGTGACTGCAACCGAGCGTGACTGCAGCGCGACTGTCGCGCGGCTGCCGCTCTGTTGCAGCGAATCTAACAGCAGCTAATTTGAACGCGCCCTTAAAGTCAATGGATTAGCAAGTTGAAATGGTAATGAACAGACAACATCAGTCGCAGAACTGACGACCAATTCTGAAGAAAGTTTTCTGAGTGATGGCTACATTTTGATGACAGTATACAACTGAAAGTGGGATATAGGTAGCCCCTATACAGGGTTATTTGTGAAATACTGGCGCCAACACTTTACCTGTGCATGGTGCAAAATGTGCGGCGCACACAGGAGTGGGGTCTTAGGGTGCACCAGCACCGCCCGCGACGCCTCTAAAGAGCTTGAATTGCTCTCGACGCAAGCGAAGTAAACGGGCATTGCTTCCCAACATTATTTATAATTGCACTATTTGCACCCAAATTCCGACCACTGAGGAAAATATAATTGTAAGTATAACGTACTGTACGTACGTAGTATATCGTACTGGTATTTACACTAGCGCTTTCTTTTGTTACCGATCGACATCAGAGCGTAATGTTTGTTACCACACAAAATTATCACCATTTAGAGCGATCTCTTTAAGTATTTTTATTTTTGTACGAAAGTAAAATCTGACGAATTGTTAAAAGTCATGGGAAAAAAGTAGTTGGTAACATTACCAACAAAGTCCATCGAGGTTGTAAGTATTTTACAAATAACCCTGTATATTATTTTTATATATATAATATCAAGTGACGGGACGAAAAAGTCGTGCACCGATGGTAAGTTACACGTCTATACCAGTTACAGTGCCTCTCAGAGCTTTAAATTACAAAGATCTGAGGGGCGCTACCACTGCGCCCGTCACCCTGAGACATAAGTTGACAAGTCCCATGTGCCTGTAATTTCAATAGCACCCTTTCCTTCAAAACCGGAACATAGTAATGCTGACATTACTGCTTGGCGGCAGAAACAGGTAAGGTGACAGTACTACCCTGGACGAACTCTTTCACAAGGAGCTCTACTGCTACTAACTATGTAATGGTTCATCGTGATGATAGTAGTATTTATTTAATGATTCTCTGCACCACAGGCTGAAGAGGTATCTTCAACCCACGCAGAATTTCTTCATGTGCATGTTGGCGCCGGGGGCGCGGGTCACTGCTGACATCTACGCGTACATGTTCCTGTGTGACTTCTTCAATTTCCTCGTCGTTATATTCGGATTTGCTGCTTTTGGAGTAAGTATTTAACTGACTTCAAAAAATAAGGAGTATAAAGTCGACTGTACATATTTTTTAATAATTTTTAAATTTTGTTTATCTCTTGTATTTGAATACCAATTTATTGATCATTGTTATCAGTTTTATAATATATTTTATTTTTTATAGAACGTGTAGGTCCGTAGATATACTTTGACGCTATACTTTTCCAATTTCGACTTACGCCTTCGTACATAGATTCTTACAAAACAAAATGTAAACAGACTCACCAAGGCGATGGCGGCGTTCAAGCCTATCTAGAAGAGAATAAAGTGCCGATCCCGTTTCTCGTGATGCTGATTCTCCAATTCGCGCTAATCGTCATCGACCGAGCGTTGTACTTGCGAAAGTTCATGCTCGGAAAGATACTGTTCCAATACGCGCTTATTATCGGCGTGCATATTTGGATGTTCTTCGTACTACCTTTCATCACTGAGAGGTGAGACTTGGTTATAAGCTATACATCGCCTGCTTAATAATAAAACCACTTAACGTCTTCTTATTGTATGTTGGAGAAGAACTTACAAACTTCTTGCTCAATTATATATTGTCAAAGTAATATAGCATCGAAATACTTTTAACAAATTTAAATTTAACTACAAACATTATTGCGTTTACTACATTTTACACCAAATTTTTATTGCCTTGAAAAATTACATAGAAATTACATGCGATGTATTCACTCTAAGATGACGACAAGTGACATTTTTCACATAAAGCCTCTAAATTACACGGCTGTGCTGGTAAAAGTAATTTATAGCTTTATTTTAACAAAAGTTTATTCTTTTTTTATTATTGAGTTTTACCTCCAGAAAGATTCTGATTTTCTTAACATAGCTATACAATTTTGTGGCTTTTTGTGCAAAATTTCAGTTATGTAGTTTAAGCAGACGATATCTTTGCACGCATATGTAGGTAACATTAAACGGTACGATACCGAACCTTAACACTTTTGAACGAATATGTAAGAGATATTTTTGTAATGTTATGGTGGCACTTAACATTGCTGTGTATTGGTGTACTATGTGTAGGCAGTATGTGTGTCAAAGTATTTGCCTTGTTCGACAAATACAGCAAACACGACAATGAAAAGTGTCAAAAGGCAATTTCGCAAGTTATACGTCCATGCTATGGTCATATTAATTATTTTTACTCCAAGTGCAAACGATCATATTTGTCAATATCTGCATATTTATCGCACATGAAACATTTTTCCAAATACAGCAAACAGTCATAACGAATGTGTTATGTAATATATTAATCATTCATGGAAACTACCTATATTATAATACATTCATACTACAATGTAAAATAAGTAGGTACAATTAATATGTAAATAATTTACAATAAAGATGATATTCAGAAAACGCAAACTATCTAGAAAGTTTCTTAGGAACTCTTAATTCGAATAATTTGTAATTTTTTATGACATTCTAGAAGACTTTGACTCCTCTGAAAGCTAATATAGAACAAATTAAAACTGAGGGCCACTGACAACCCGAGTTGTGGGCGCTAGTATTCACTTTTGAAGTAAAAGTTGTTGTTATCGATAGAACAAATGATTCAGACTCTAATGACTTCTTTCAGGACATTTAATACCCTGTTACCACCACCGATGTGGTATATGGTGAAGTGTATATATCTGCTCCTGTCGGCGTATCAAATTCGCTGCGGCTACCCTCGCCGCATCATTGGAAACTTCCTCTGCAAGTCTTACCGTTTTGTCAATATGGTGCTCTTCAGAGGGTGAGTCAACGTCGCGTCTTTGGAAAACTTCTAAAAGTTATGTTTTAAAGTTATGTCTCAGAGTGAAATGACAATGCCCCACAAATCTTTGCGATTTAAAGCTCTGAGTGGCACTGCAACTTCTATGGACAGGTGTGTCGCTTACAACCACGCGCACGACTTGTTCGTCCTTTCACTTAGTATCATAAATAATAATAATAATTATTATTATCTGGACTTTAAAGATAAGATAATCGTTGTTGATTCTGGATTATATTCTAAAGTAAGTTTTTAAAAAAGTAATAGATTCAGGCGTTAATTTACGGAAATCTAAATCTGAAAATACGGAAAAAATGGAAATAAATTGATTTGCTACTCCGTTACGCCTTTCTACAATTCAACCTCAAGTATTGTTGATTGTTCAACGCTTGGTCGAAGAAACTATTTTGAACGATCCAACCATAGTAGAGTAAGAACAAGTATGGTAATCGGTCGTCCCAAACGTGATTTTCATTATTACGCGAATGTGTGCGTGTCCAAACAGGGCGCCCGGCGTTTTTCGCACACAAATAAGTCTCTTTGTTATTTTGTACGGAGTTACCCTACTAGTTTTATTCGACTATGATTTAACCGTCACTGGGTTCGCGGAGTAGCAAATTAATTTACTTCCATTTTTGTTAACAACATGGTCTGCGCTAGTCTATATAGTAATTCATCAAGCATTACTGTTCCATTTTGGAACGAATCCGTTAACAAATGTTTAACCAAAATACAAAATAGTCGTAACAGCGATGTCACACAGACGCTGCCGGTGCGTTGTTTAGTAAGGATAATTTTGTGGGAGACTGATGCCTAAAGTATGCATAAAAATGCCTGTGCGTCAGGCCACCAGGTTCCCACCTCTCAGAAATACGAATTGAAAAAAATTCACACAAGATATTTTTAACACTACTAGCACCAACGAGAAATATTGAAATGTCACTTCACAATCCACAGATACAAACATGTAATAAGTTGAATCTTTGAAATTAGAATCTCAAAAACAATAAAAGCATTGTACATTTACACTCCTATGAAATTTAATTTCTTGGGTCCATATGGCATCATTATACCACTGTAAACATTTTAAGTATTAATAATAATAATATATTAAGTGTTGTATTCAACAAGTCAGCATTGCCAAAACTGCGATTTGGATTGAACACCATAATAAATATTATATATGAAACGACGCCCTAATGGTCTTCTGTCCCTTTGTAAGACAAAGTTAGGAGCCATCTTATAAGAGCGCGATAACATTTATAAGCGTTTAGTTTATATATTCCAATTATCTTGTTTGTTTTGTTATATAAATGTGGTCCCAGAAAGGCATATGATTTTTGTGCAAATGTGGTTCGTAATCGGCGAGATTGTGTACAAACTTTATAATTTCTGCTATGTAATAAGACACTGCGTCACCGCTCAGGCGGTACAACGCATCGTGTGACATCGCTCTTACGTGCTTGAATAGGCGCTGGTTGGAATTCAGTTGGATGGAATGAATTTTTCTTTGTGTTTGTTTCGTTATTTGTATCAATAATAATAACAAAGTAGTGAAAAATTTTCTAATAAAATTAATTAATAAGGTATGGGCATTCGTCTATCATTTCTTCTTTTGTCTGATATAACTTGGTCCAACCACATCAAGGAACTATAGCAACGTTGTAACATATATGATTTAAACAATTTCAGTTTTATGGCGGTGCCGTTTGTGTTCGAATTGCGAACGCTGATGGACTGGATCTGGACGGACACTTCGATGACGCTCATGGATTGGCTCAAGATGGAAGACATCTTTGCCAATATATTCTTGCTCAAAGTAAGATTTTTTACTTCTAATTACTCCTGAACTGTTCCTTTTCAACTACATATATAATTTATTTATAATATAATATGTAAATAATTTATTATTATAGTTTATATATATTATAGACAATATCACATTGATGTTGCTCTGATCCGAAAGTAAGTCACTAAACGACTTGTGTTTTGGAAATCGGATACGACGACGGTACCAGATCTAAGACAATATAGATACGTTAGTTTTTCTGCATTGACCTGGCCGAGAATCGAACCTGGAACCTTAGAGATGGCGACACCATGAAAACCGGTGTGCTAACTCGACCACGGAGATCGTAGTAATGAGCAAGAAATCCCAAAAAATCAACTACAATTGTTATATAAAAAGTCTATTATTATGTTATGTTGTGAAATAATTTTGATTGTAGAGAACTTATTTTCCCAATTGTTTTTAGCCATTTGATAAATTGGTCTGAAACAAAAATGTGATTTGGTTAACCTTATGGCGGCACTTCACATGGCTACTTGTATTCGCTATTGGGTGTTTGATGTACTTGGAAAAATGTTTGACGTACAGACAAAACATGCGAACACTGACAAATCGATGCCTTACTTTCTCAAACTCGTGTCTTATAAAGAGTGATTATTCAGGAGATGGGAAAACATTATATTTATTTTAAATTTCTTATGGAGGGGGTTAATTTGGATGCATTACTTTAAAAACATGGTAAAAGCCAGGTAGTAGAAAGTTACCTACTTTTAACTTTTAGTAAGTAAGTAAGGCAATAAGCAGGTAAAAGTAGGCCAGTGTGTGAATATGAAGGAAATGTGATGAGAAAAACTGCAAGTTTTCAAATTTGAATATAAAATCCGTTTTTTGCATTTCAGTAACTTTGTGTTTTAAGATAGAGTTTGAGAATAGCAAGGCGACGCAATATGGGCATATTTTAGTCTACACACGGAGCCAAATAAGGGGTTAAAATAATGACTATGACCATAGTTTGGACGTATACTTACGTATTTGCCGATTTGGCTCCTTTGATGTGCACCGAGAAACCGACCAGCGTACGCTAACGCGAATTTGGTGTTTGTTGTATTTGTCGAATAGGTAATCAAGGCTGTCACGAGGCGCCCCGGGTATTTTAAATAGAAGGTTCGGTTCACATGAATTATATTGTAGAAATAAAGAAAGAGAAAAGAAAAAACAGGTAAAGCCTGTAGTAAAACCTGTAACAAAACGATATAAATAGTAATGATATAAAAACTTGTACAATCGTATAAAAAACATTCCCTACTTAAATTAGATACTGATTAACGGATAAAAAAGGAACTTACCCAAAAGGGGCTTGTATTTTCTTCAAATATTATACTTTACAAGCAGTTAGGTTACATGATGTAACTGGTCAGAAATTTCGTGTGAAGTCGAGCACATGTGCTCGTTTCGGAAGTTCAGTAGAGAGTGGCGATTGAAAGAATAAAAGTAAGTGACGAACAAAAAAAGGCATTTAAAAATAATTTGAAATTTCAAAATAGGTGGCCAAGAACCAGAGATAATGGTGATAAAAAGGTGGGATGACGATGAAAGAGGTCGCATCGTCACAAGGCAAATACTTTGTCACACATGCTATCTACATATTTTATGGTGATTATTTGTCAAGTATTTTTTATTTTTATTTTTTTTTATTTCTTGGGAAAGAAACAGTTTTTACTTTGTTTACAAGATTATAGTACAAAAAAAAAATTAAATACGCAATTACAAATAGCCGTGTGAAGTGCCAGCATTACACACATTTAATCACTTTGATTATAGATAGGTACCCTTTTATTTTCACTTACAATCAATGAGTTATTTTTCGGGAAGCTTCGACGTAGAGTGAAGGACACATGAAACTCGATACTTGAACGTTGCACTATTCTTGTTGTAAGTGGCATAGAATTGATTTTCAATCTCTTAGGCGTCAAGCTTGACATGCTATTGACCATGTACCAACGCCATAGGTTATTAAATAATAAATTATTTTATGCGATGTTATGAATTGTGGCTGACTTTGAATATAAACCACATTTATTACCTATTGTCGTACCTTTTTGAACATCGCGTTAAATCAAAACATTTATATCATTTAATTTTCTTTAGATTACAATACATTAACAAAATACAGAGACAAACAAAAGATAAAACAGCGTTTCATGAGGCAGCGGCGGTATTACTGTTAAATCAAGGCGTAGTTAATACTGACAGATAACTAATGTTACATCGTTTCAACAGTGTTCTCGCGCCATAGAAGATGAGTTTCCACAACCACGTGGCTCGAAGAAAACAACCACGTCAAAGTATTTGCTCGGTGGTAGCGTGTTGGCCTTCGTCATCGCTATCATCTGGTTCCCGCTAGTATTCTTCGCGTTTGGAAATACGGTATGTCTATTCTTTATCTTAGGTGTGTAGCTCTCCACAAGAGCTATAATTTGAAAGCCCGAACATTTGGGGCTATTAATTTCATGTATGGGTTAATTTTTACGAAGAATATTGGAAAAACGAGCGCCAATAGTGCCTAGAGCTGAAACAACTAGAGCAGTTCTGATAGAATTTTGTTTTCTTTTTTGTCAAATGTATACAACGTTATAACGTTGGTTTTACATTATTACGTGCACAGATAACATAGGTCGAGAAAGCTCTGATATCAAATCGGCCTGGTGAAGATCAAAGCTGGTGAAGGATGATGGTGTAAAGCGTACATAGGGCGCACTATGCGTTTCCGGAACTGGCCACTACATAAACAATATTTAAAGAGTAGTTTGAAAATGGAACTCTTTGGCTGTAGAGTACAGTTTGTTTCATCTGACTGTCATTTGTTTTTACATTGTGGCGTAATTTTAGAAATTGGTTGACTACATCATCATGGATTTAACTCGTGAAAATTTTCATAGTATGATTTTCTACGACTTTACCTCAGCGGAGCTTCGCTCGGCCTCAAACTGCTTTTGATGATGAAGCACCATGCAAGACGACTATTTATAGCTGGTTTGCAGAATTCAAACGCGGTCGTGTGAATTTCAGTGGCGAATTTCGTGATGGTCCTCGACCACTGCTGTGAACAACAAACACATCGATGCTGTGCGCCGTATGATCAAAACAGACAGGCATGTTGCATACCATGAGATTCGGATAACTTTAGGTATAGGCATGAGTCAAATACAATCAATACTACACAAACATTTGGGTGTGAAAGAGCTGTGCTCTCGGTGGATCCCACACAATTTGACTGAGGCTCAAAAAACAGATCGCGTCACTTGGTGCAATGCTTACCAGGTTCAACGAAGGGGCGTCAAATTTGGTGTGGGACATAGTAACAGGTGACGTGACATGGATTTATAGTTACGATCCTAAAACAAAGCAGCAATCGAGCGTATGGGTCTTTCGAGATGAGCCGAAAAACCAACCAAAGTGGCGCGCGTGCAAAGTGCCTCTAAGCGGATGATTGCTTCTTTTTTTAATAAAACTGTACACGTGGCTCCTGTTGCTTTGGAGAATCGTTGTACCGTGAATAGTGATTGGTACACGACCATTTGTTTGCCGGAAGTTATTAACAAACTCCGTAATAATAACCGTAAACGCCGTATTATCTTGCACCACGATAATTCCAGTCCTCACACGGCTAGACAGAAGAGTGAATTTTTGAAGGTGAATAACGTTGACCTTATGAGGCTTCCCGTGTACAGTCCCGACTTGGCACCTTGACACTTTTATTTATTTCCAAAAAATTAGGAACCAGTTACGCGGTCAACGATTTTCATCACCTGAAGAGGCTGTCGAAGAATATGAAAAATATGTTTCAGAGATTGTCACCGAGGAGTGGCATAAATGTTTTCAAAATAGGTTCATTCGTATGAAAGAGTACATTAACGCTAACAGAGGATATTTTGACAAACAATAAATTTATTTCTGACCATTTATAATATTTTTTCTTATTTATTCCGGAAACTCACAGTGCGCCACACGTATAAGTGTTACGATTCATAGGCAAACCCTATTAATGTAGATATTTTACCTTTATTACCTTAAACTGTGGTGATCATTGTTCTAGGGAACAAAAGAAAAAATGTTAAACGTGCTGTCCCATGCGTACACTTAATCATTCCGCATTAGCATAGTGTAATAAGACATAGAGCAACTATCACCTGTTCGGCGCTTAAATTTTGCTAAAAAATTACTCGGAGAGTTGTTACATTTTTAGGATAGGGTTGTACGTTGAGTTGTTCCTAAAGGTTGTGAATATAATTTGAAAAATAAGGTATTCATCACAGTATTCTCATGCTATATTGAAATAACTTTAGTCAATTTTAATGAAATTTTTATGCCAGCATCGAGGATTGATAATTTGATTATGGGAGTATATTTATGAAATAGAAACGAAATGCTGAACAATTCTGAATTTTAGGCATTATTGTTCAAACAACCATAAACACTCTCTAACATTTAGGAGATGAAACTATTTTTCCGGATTTAAATCGCATATATTTTTTTCCCAAATCCCAAACAAACATAAGGCTGCAGTACTGATTAACATGTTTTAATTTATTTTAATTACAAAGCATATCTACTAAGATTTGAAAACTAAATTACTGATTTATACGAGAAAGAGATAAAAACTATTTTATCTCGTTCAGTCAGCAATTTAGTCTTCAAATTTAATATATACTCCCGGACACATAATTCGAGCCACTTTGCATTGTCAGTATTAAATATCCTTCGCTTAAATAATGATTAATTGATCAATAACTAATAAAATTAAAGTTTGGAACTGGTGTACTAAACGTCATTTTCAAAAGGGTTTCTTGATATTGAATTTGACTTTATGAATTATGAATATTGAATATTGAATTGAAATTTAATTGAAAGAAATATATTATAATTTATGAATATTGAATTTGCGAAACCGGGAAAAACTCTTTCTTCAATGATAATAATAGGTTTCTTTTTATTCTAACACTTGAAAAATAAAAATGCAAGATGGCTCGATTTATTTGTTTTTTCTTTATAATAAAGTGACGGAACGAACAAGTCGTGCGCCTGATGGTACACTCCTAGTAGCTACACGCCTGTCTATAACAGTTGCAGTGCCCTCAGAGCTTTAAATCATAACGATCTGAGGGGCACTGCTACTGCGCTCGTCACCCTGAGACATAAGTTGACAAGTCCCATATGCCTGTAATTTCACCAGCACCCTTACTCTTCAAAACCGGAACGCGGCAATGCTCTCATCACTGCTTGGCGGCAGAAACAGACGTACTCTTTCACAAGGAGCTCTACTGCTATTTATGTGTCCGGACGTACCACCGACTCGGCATTGAAGAGCAGAATACCAAAAAAATACAGTGACAGTTGAATAGTAGCTCGATGGCTAAGCTACTGACAAACCACTACACATAATTTTTAGCAGAATATCAAACGTACAAAATCCTGTCATTGACAATCTCCATAGAGTGACACAACTGAGATTATTTAAGGTTAGCAGACTTATGGCGCTGGTCTTAATGTATGGTATTAGTTTACAATGGGATCAACATTTTTTACCTTCATCGAAACCATGAATCATCTTACCTTACCAAATTAGTCCACTGCATTGTAAATATTCCAGGTCGGTGAACCGAACCCGCCTACGGATGTCACGGCTAAGATTCGTATTGGACCGTTCTTACCCGTCTATCAGATGTCTGCGCAATCTCATAACATAGAAGTGTAAGTTATAACTCTAATGAATGTTTAATAAGATTTAATTAATATTGTACTCAATATTCTTAATCTCTCTCCAGAATGGTGTAAAAAGTGTTTACATAGTAGAATAATCACATCGTGGAACCTTTCAAGGGGGTCGATTCATAGCCTTACGATAACTCAATTGTCGACCGTTTCGATTTGATATCGTACGATTTCTTTAAATTTAATTCACAACACCCGAATCGAACGTCAAACTGCCGAACGAAACCAAACCGAAATTCGAAATTCAAAAAACGAATTCCTCGACCGGCAAAGGCTACAAACGTTATTCAGAACACAGTTATCGAATGAAAGTTACCGAATGTCCTATTGTTTACAAAGCAAGACTGTAATATGGGAATCTCTATTATATCTCTATTATTTTAAATAAAGTCTGGATTTTGTTAAATTTTATTAATTTATTTTAATACAAGACTAATGGATTCCTATATTAAAGTGTTAAAAATGTGTATAAAAGGATTTTCATTTTTCTTGTAATCTATTTCACTAGCTTACTCCGTAAACGCTGGACAACGATATCGTATCCGAATTGAAAGTTTAACTCGAACTTTCGGAATAGCTCGGAAAACACCTTTCGATTCAAGAACAATATCCAATCGAACGATTCGGTTAAAATATCGAATAGTTCTAAATCGGGGTCCAGGAACAACAAAGTAGGCGGGAAGAGAGTAAGATTCTTCCTTTGTGTTAGAAGTTTTCAATTACAAATTCATTAACATTATAATTACATATTGTTAATAATAAATCTTTTATATTTTTCTTCTAAGCGAGTGTTACTATATATTGTTAATTTTGTGTTGTCTTATTAATGCAATGCTATATATATGGATGTTGTCGTTCCATTTTGAGAACAGAACAATAAAAAGTATGTATTCTCGCACTTGGTCATCAGATACACGGAACAAGATTATACCCAACTGAGCAACATGTACGCACGCGACCGCACGGCGCAAACATTCCTCTCCAACTACATGTACAACGACGTAGCCGTTGTCACATTAAACTCCAATTCCACTATGAAGTGGGAGATCTCTCCGCCGGAACTCGATCGCCTCGAGCTTGAGGCGAAGTCCAGTCAGTATTTTTTTCTATTTGCATTTGAGCACAGCAAAAAAAATGTTGGTTGGTCGGAAAAATGTGTTCCACATTATATAGATACATGTATAAATATAACTACAAGCAATGACACAGAGTTGTTAAAATCACCAAATATTAATTATTTCTTTCGAATTCCGGATTTCCGGAAATGGTTTTACTGCATCGTAGGACAAAACTAAATACCTTTTTCCGACCATTCGTTATGACTTCCCCTTGAACAATTATCGCAAAGCCTAAACAAAATAGCTAACACTAAACAAAGATAAAGCTCAACGTTTTTTTTCTAGTATGAGAAGTCTCTTCCCATACTAGAAAAAAAAGTTCTTATAGGGGCCAGTTACTCTCAATGACAGTTACACAACCTTGACAAACAATTTTAAATAAATACTGAATTTTAATTTGGGAATAAGGTTAAGTAACATAATATAGGGTCAGGTGGGGTAAGAGGAACACGGGGGGAAGAGGGTCTTGTAGCCTTAACTCATAATCTACAGAGTTTAGCACTATAGTCTTTCAGTCCGTAAAAGAGATTATAACTTTTTAATGATGAATAAAACCAACCTAAAAAGTTTGTGGAATTACATCTAATTGCCAAGTTTTATTGAACTTACAACAATGACAAGTTTTATTGAGTTACCGGAAAGTGCGCGAAACACGAATGAACACGAAACGAAGGCATTCATCCCCTAAATTGCCACCCTTAGAGGTGGAATATTTTCTTCCAATTGAAATAGGACCAATACTGACGTACCCTCTGTCCAACAAAAAAAGAATCACCAAAATCGGTTATCAAATGCCGTAGTAATCGCATAATATACACACAAAAAATAATAATAACACGTTACTTATATAGGAAATACGATATCTCTTACCCCATCTTTTGGAGGAAGAGAAACACACGCTAAGTATCGAATTTAGCGTAAAGCTGATGAACAAAGGCATATTTTATGTACTTCAAATTTCTTATAAGACTTATCTGTTCTTTCTAGAGCTCAAAACATTTGACCCAGAATAATGTAAGTTCCTCTTATCCCACCTGACTATAATATTAAATAAACTTAATTAAGTATGTGTCACTCTCAAATATAATCTAGAGTAATCCTACTTATTAAGATAATAACATATCATCATCACGACTATGGTCTAAACCCTCGTCTGAATAACATATACGTATTCTAAATTATGTTTCTCTTTCTACAGACAAAAGTATAAAAATTAAATTCACATTCGTGATTACGCATCCGAGCAATACAGTACAAAACCCGCCGACTATAGAAGACAGTCGCGAAGTGGAGATGGAACCTTTCGTAGACGCAGAACGGACTATACGAAATCCAGAACGTGTCAAGTTATATGCTATGCTGACTAATACTTCGTCACCGGACTCCTGGTAAATATTTATATCATTTTCAATAATGTTCGGTAATCACCAATAGTCGGAAAAAGATGTTCCACGTTATATATATATATGTATAGATATGGCTACAAGAAGCGACATAGAGTTGTTAAAACCACCAAATATAAATTAATTACTTTTTCGTATTCCGGATTTCCGGAAATGGTTTTATTGCATCATAAGACAAAACTACTGACCTAAGAAGTCGAAGTTGGATTTTAAAGTAATTGTAGTGGTGCCATGTAAAAATATGTAGTAGATACTGAGTTTCTACCAAAGCCGAAAATAAAAAATAACGAGAATGGTTCTCCGCCACTAGCTAGCTTTAGATACCGTACTGCGCCCCGCATATTGACGGTCACATTAACGGAACGGCAACAAGGCTGTCAGTTATCTACTGCATTTTTTTGACAAGACACTCAGAACTTTAAATCGCAAAGATTTGAGGGGCACCGGACACTATGAGACATAAGTTGACTAGTTCCATATGCCTGTAATTTCACCAGCGCCCCAACCCTTCAAAACCGTAACGCAGTAAATGCTCACATTACCGCTTCTTGACGGTAGAAATAGGTAAGGTGGCAGTACTTCCTTGGACGACCTTTTTCATAAGGAACTCTACTGCTACTAACTTGTTTGTTTGTTTTTAATAATAATTGCTGAGTAAAATAATGAGTCCTATCTGAATTTATAGTGAATATACTTAATCAAAAGTACATTTAACTAGCACTCAATAGGTTTTTGCAATACCAAATCAACTGAAGCAACGATATTTTTAAGCTTTAGTGACACAAAAAACAATGGAATTTTATTAAAACCGACTTTTGAGTGTATTTGTCTTGAGCAGAGACTAGGTTTAGATATTTTTTTACTAATTCAAGATATAATTGTTAGGTACTTGGCATGTACTCGGATGTTTTAACAACAATTACTTTTATTGTATAAGAACTAAGACAGATTTTTTTGCAGGGTTCAAGTGGATCTGCTTTTCCCCAAATTCTTGAAAGTGTTTAATAAAGGTACCGCGAAGCCTGCGTATCAACTAACAGAAGGTCATGACGACGACAGTAAGTGTTTTAAAATGATAAAGACTTATTTAGGCATCTAAACAAAGCAGCACTGGAAAATATATTGTGGATTAATTTGGTAAATAAATAAATAACGCACACACTCATAGCCCCGGCTTAGGGGAAAACCACAAATTACATCCAAGCTCACGAGAGTAATACCAAGAATTCCGCCGTAAAGTTGCCTGCTTATCGAAATACCTACACCATAGGGTGTCTAGAAGAACACTACTCATACAAACTGAGGGCAGTACTTGCTTGAGTCAGAAACATGTAAATACATTTAGTGCATTTTAAAATATATTACAATGGGAAAAGCGCTAAACACCCAATGTACATATAGGGCTACTGTAAGTAGTTTACTGGATCTTAGGTTATAATGAAACAGTCACGATTAAAGTCGCGGTTCTTGGTTGTTAGAACCGAATAGCATAGGGCTTCGGAGTAATTAACAAGTTTGATATTCCAGGTTTCGCAGTGGATGATAAGAGATTATATCACAACGTCCAGTTGCGATTGGAAAGGGATAGGGACTCAATGTACTGGCGCGTGCGGGAAGGCTGTAATCTTAAAGTAAGTATTCCAGATGACAAATCGCGCCTGCCCTTTTTATATATTTTATTATAAAGCCGTTTTTCATAATTGATAAAATGTTAATCATTCTCCCGGTATAGTCGAAAATAGAAACTACCGTCGTATCCACGGAAGTTCAATTTCAGGTTTGAAATAAACAAGATATACACGGTTATACGAATTTGAAAGTTTTATGTCTCGGAAACTAATATAGCTATTGTGTTATAAGTAGTTATTATTACTATTAGGGGGTTTCCAAAGAAGTTTCGTAGAGGGCGTTAGGGGTCGGTTCTTGGCAAAAAAGAACAATAATGAAATTAACATGGTAGCCAAAAATAATATTACATCAATCTGGCTGAAAGTGAGTAAGTTTTAACTACGTACTACAATAAATATTATACAACCGTAGATTGTGTGATACATTCATAAGTCTTGGCTTTTTCACGACAATCAGACAGCAAATGCATTCTATTATATTCTAGCAATATGCATTGACGCTAGCGTCTACTACCTACTATTTTTACACATTAATTTTGTTATTGAAAAAAGGGATAGCTATAATATGGTTTAAGCAATTTATTTCTCAAAAAAAAAACAGAATACAAACATTCACTTACAAAGAGAAATACTAGATAAATATAAAGCTTACAAACATGAACGATCATCGGAACAGTTACTTAGTTTAGCCATTCTAATTACTTACGTCGGGGATTTGTAATTTAACCAGGTATAAACAAATCAGAAGATATTCACATAATACTGTTAGTTTAGTCTTAAAGCCATATATTGAAATAATTATGACGGACAAAGGTCCATAATAATTAGCAGTTTTTTTTTATGTAGTTAGTCGGCAATATTTTATTTGTAGTTTTACAAATAAAATATTGGGAACCATGCGGAGATTCATATTACGTATGGATATACAATCGCTATCAGAATTGCGATTGAAAGCGATTGTGCATTCCACAGCATCAGCACACCCAAAATCTAAATCCGACCACGCGCTACAAGCCGAGGCCGATCCCGAGGCTCATTGCCTATATTGGTGAATTCCTCACAAAGTTGTGTATAATATTTTAATACATATAATACTTTTGATAGCCGCCACAGGATCGTATAAACTCTATCCCAATGAACAACTGCGATCAGCTGGTTATGTTCACGTTCAACGACAAACTCTTCCCCGAGACGCTCAACTTTATCTCAGGGAGCGGGTAAGTTTTAATGATTGTGCTATTTTACGCATAAGTATTTGACCCTTCATTGAACTAACTCAAAACAACATAATAGTACTAGCTTGCAACGAAAGAGGTTCGACCATGTATCAGCTGGTGATCATACTCATACTCATAAACGAGGAAGCAAAAAAATATTTTCAATTCGTAAAACAAATAATTTGAAAAAAAAAAATACAAAATGCAACATTGGACAATGGTAATTTTGTACGGAAAATCAAAATAGTTTTCAACGAACTAAAAATAAAATGTGGGTATTTTTTACAAACGTTGTTTAGAGCGATCTGTTTAAACAGTTTGTATGAAAGTAAAATCTGATGAATTGGACAAAAGTTGTTGTTTATGATATTAGTAACACAGTTCTGATAGGTTGTTAGCATTGACTTACAAAGTCAAAGGTTGTTAGACAAAAAAAGTGAGCATCCTTCGTTTTGAATAGACGCTAGATGATTACTTATTTTCTAACATTTTGTCCAACAGCATCATCGGATTATACACTACATTCGTATTCTTGGCGTCGCGAGTGATCCGTGGATTCTTCTCTGGCATTTACACCAAGATTATGTTCGATGATTTACCGAACGTCGATCGCGTTTTGCAGCTTTGTCTCGACATTTATTTGGTAAGTTGGGGATCACCTGTACTTCAGGGATCATCATGCTCCTTCCAGCATATTGAATCCTTATTGCCTGTGTAGGCGATTTTCTAAGCTAGGATAGCACTATTGTATTAGCAAGCGAGCAGCAGCTTGTTAGAACTATACATATAAGTACTACCCTGGCTTGAATGGTTCTTGTTGTTTGGACTCAGTAATTCAGACTCCGACTGAAAAGTACGTTCAGTAGCAGTAGAGAACTCCTTGTGAAAGAGTTCGTCAAGGGAAGTACTGCCACCTTGCCTATTTCTGCCGCCAAACAGTAATGTCAGCATTACTGTGTTCCGGTTTTGAAGGGTAAGGGTGCTGCGGAAATTACAGGCACATGGGACTTGTCAACTTATGCCTCAGGGTGACGGGCGTAGTGGAATTGCCCCTCAGATCTTTGCGATTTAAAGCTCTGAGCTTACTGCCAGGCGCACGACTTGTTTGTCCCGGCACTTGATATTATAAAAAAAAGTATCGAACCCGAGAGCTCCGCATCCATCGTCCACAGTGCAAACCATTAGGCCTCCAAGGTCCTCCAATACATGTCTTGTAATAATACATTTTAACTTAATACATACAGGTACGTGAGGCTCTTGAGCTCGCATTGGAAGAAGATCTGTTCGCAAAATTAGTGTTCCTATATCGCTCACCGGAGACGCTAATAAAATGGAGTCGACCAAAAGAAGAAGAGGAGCAGGGAACTTTGGCATCACCTCGATGAGCTAACTCACTGAAAACTATTACACGAGACCTTACGCTACGTTATCAGTTATTGATATATTTACAATCGAATTTTTTTACGTAAGTTAGCGACGCGATCTCTGTTTATCTCACCCCTTGAGGCCACATACGTCCAATGTTTTGTATATATAAAATAATCTGAAATATAAAGAACGCATTGCAATACCATCGTAGCAAGCAATAGATACGTAAGTTGTACAGTATATAAGTATACTTTAAGAATAAACGGTACATACCTACTTTAAAAATTCACTCCATGATTACGTTTATCAAAATTTTTGACACTGACCTTTATTACATTATTCTCCTAAGCACACACGGTTCTCTCATTTCTAAGCGTTTAAATACTTAATTTATAACATTTTAACGGGCATTCCTTCATGAAGTAAAGCTTGCTTTTGCTTGTGTCCTGACGATGTGACGATTGAGCATAATATTATTTATTTTTCTAGAATATAGGCTTAAGATTTTTGATCCCAAATCACCGGTAGTTCTATGAGCTAGTTCCAATTTATTATTTAAAATCGTAATGTAATGCTAATGACCTGTTAATATTGAATGCTTGTATATTTTGCAGTACAAATTTATGTAATAAAGTTATTCATTGCCATTAGAATTTTCTGGCGCACAATCTTAGACTTGTTTATTGAATAGGATAGAAATGGTGTCATATCGCTGTTCTCTAAACTTAATTTATATGAATTTGTATAGCGTTATCTCTGCGTAATACTATAATTAGCAAAAAAGAGAGCACATATAGGTAAAATTATACTTTTACCTCTCCATTTAAGTTCATGAATGTGCGCGACGGAATTGATAGACCAAAATAAAAATCGTTATTATGAAAAATTGTTTTTGTATACATTATTCTATTGAAATTTCATTTTGTTCATTGAATGTATTACCTACAGCAGTCACTATACTTAATGCATATAAGTACCTGCTCTGTAGAGTTGTATAAAATGTTTCTAGATTTTTACAATTTATGTTTTACCTTGTTACACAAACCATGATCCTGAATACAAAATCAAGCACTTCCACAAATATATACCTCAATTTTGTAGAGATAAAGCTGATCATGCTTTTGATATTTTATAAATTTTATTGAAGTATTTAAGGAAGAATTAATTTGTACACTTTTGTATTGTGATTGTTGTGTTAATTTGCCTTTAATGTTGTCGACTTGTAACAATAAAAGTCATATAAAATGTTTAATTGAAGTTTATTATTGAAAATACATTGGTCTTATTTACTAACTTATATAAGAAATTTTAAATAACCATCAATCTGGGCGCAATATTCATAGACATCAGTTCTTGGAATAACAGTTTAGCAGCGTAAGGAAGACGAATTTGGGAAATCTGCGTTTTGTTCTTGCAGCCTTTACACTCAAAGGTATTGTTCCGCAAATTTGCTATGGCAATCAAACCGCAGAAGTTACAAACGTGTATGCGGTAAGGATCTGAGACTTCGAAGAGACGCTCTCGCAAGAACTGCGCGGCTCCATGGGCAATTTGACAGTCACGCTCCATCTCTCCGAAACGCAATCCTCCATCTCTCGCTCTGCCCTCCATAGGTTGTCTCACTAAAATTTGTACCGGTCCTCTAGCTCTTGAATGAATTTTGTCATCGACCATGTGCTTGAGGCGCTGATAATAAGTTGGACCTAAGAAAACTTGGGCGTTAATCTTTCGACCTGTGTGCCCATTATACATAACTTCATTGCCACGAAGATGATAGCCATACTCTTGCAATAACGACGATATTTTTTGTACGTTTACAGCGTCATTAAAAGGCGTAGCATCACCAATTTCGCCTTTATTGGAAGACACTTTTCCTTGAATACATTCAATCAAGTGACCAATTGTCATACGAGATGGAATAGCGTGTGGGTTAATAATGATATCTGGTGTGATTCCTTCACAGGTAAAAGGCATGTCTTCTTGTCTGTACTGAATTCCACAAGTACCCTTTTGCCCGTGACGAGAGGCAAATTTGTCACCAATTTGAGGAATACGGACTGATCTGACACGAATTTTACAGAACTTGTAACCCTCGCTATTAAGGGTCAACATGACTTGATCAACAATACCAGTTTCACTGTTACGTAAGAAAGTGGATGCATCACGCTTAGTGTAACGCTTTGTTGTTCCTTCCAGTTCATCATCATTTTCAGGAAGAGTAATCGTTTTTCCAATTACGACATCATCTCCAGACACTCTGATACCAGGAGCAATAATACCATCATCATCCAATTTGTCATACAGAGCATTTCGCATACCTTGACAAGTCTGCCTGGTAGGCTTTTCAAATTGTTCTTCTTGATCTCCAATTCTTTTTGATTCCGAATCTTTGTAAGAACGGTAGAAAACAGATCTGAAGAATCCTCTTTCAACAGCAGATGCATTTAAGATGACACTGTCTTCTTGGTTGTAGCCAGTGTAGCACAGAATGGCTACAATCGAATTTATACCAGCTGGCAATTCTCTAAAACGCAAATATTCCATGGAACGTGTAGTAACCAGTGGTTTATGAGGATAGAAAAGGACATGAGCCAATGTATCCATTCTCACATGAAAATTCGTAATGTAGACACCCATAGCCTGTTTTCCCATAGCACTTTGGTAAGTATTCCTGGGGCTTTGGTTGTGGTCAGGGAATGGAATAATAGAGGCACATACACCCAATATCATAGCTGGATGAATCTCACAATGGGTGTAAGTGTTACAGTATGCAAATTCTTTGATTTGTGCTAGATCTTCAGGTGTCATAGCAATCATGACTGTTTCCTCTTCTAAAGTGTCAATATATTCAACAACACCACTAGCTACCAAGTTTTGCCAACCGTAGTTATTGTAGTCTCTTTCCTTTAAGTTGTCAATGTGTTTCTTCTTCAAAAGAAGTGCTCCATTTTCCACAATCAGTAAAGGTCTGCAAATTCTACCTGCATCTGTATATATTCTGATTTCTCTATCTCTAATGTCTCGAATCATGCTCACTTCTGACACAATGATGTCCATTTGACGTCTCAATTTTCTTAGAGTAGCCATTAGTTGTTCAGGGTCTCTGTGGATACCAACCCAACACCCATTTACAAATATTTTAGTGGCATCTGCAATAGCTGATGGAGCTATTTCTTCTAAATTTTCCATAGACCACTCTTCCAAAAATTCCAAGATTGGAGATGGTTGACTTCCCACAGAAATATAAGCCATCAGGGCAAGATTTTTCACAAGACCTACAGCTGCACCTTCTGGTGTCTCAGCTGGACAAATCATACCCCACAATGTATTATGTAGCTGACGAGGTTTAGCAAGTTTGCCATCTCGTCCAATTGGAGAATTGACGCGCCGAAGATGTGACAATGTTGAAGCAAATGTCAGTCTATTCAACACTTGAGACACACCAGCTCTTGCTTGATGGGCTTTTTTCTGATCACCCCAATTACCAGTGGCTAAAGAATACCTTAGGCCATCAGTTATGATTTTTGTTTTAATAGCCAGTTCAAGGTTGAAATCTTTACCCCTGTCAATAAACTTCTGAGCATACATTCTAACCTCCTTCAGCAAGTTTTTAAAAAGACCTCGAAACAAAAAGGCTAGCAGAGGTCCTGCTAAGTCTAATCTTTTATTTCCATAGTGATCTCTGTCATCTAATTCTCTGCGTCCCAAAGCAGCCAACAAAAGTCTGTGTACCATATATCCCAAAAAGTAGGCCTTTTTTGTTTCACAAAAATCTGACACACCCACATGTGGAAGCATTTCTTTTTGTAAAATCTCTCTTGCATATTTAATTCTTTTCTCTTTAGTAACACCAGGACGTGCTCCACGAGCACCAATAAAATTTAGAGCAACATTCTGCTCTTGGATCACAAAAGCTTCATCGAGTGAGGGCTTCACCATTTCCATCATCTCAGGGTCGTCAAAGTCGTAAATGATATGTTCCAAAATATCTCGGTCAGCTACAAACCCAAGAGCTCTAAACACAATCATTATGGGAATTTCTTGTTTTATGTAAGGGACAATAGCAATTATCCTTTGTCCAATAGCAGACTTCTTAATGCTTTGGCCACCTCGAGCCATCATGTTAACCCATAGGGTTGATGTTGGTCTTGAACTGTGTTCAAGGCATGAGCGAATCTCAGTTTTGTAAGCATATTTGCCATCTTTCATGCTAAATACATACACAGTGTTAGTTGCCATTTTTTCTTGAGCTATCAACACTTTTTCTGAACCATTGATTATGAAGTAGCCGCCAGGGTCAAGAGGACACTCATTTAATTCTGTCAAATCTCTGTCAGTCAAATTGCTCAAGAGGCAATAAGTGGATCGAAGCATAATAGGTATTTTACCAATGAATGTTTTCTGGTGCTGTGTCTCAATGGGATCCTCATTCTCCTTCACTATGGTCTTAGTTATATCCACGTATAGCGGCGCCGAGTATGTGAGATTGCGAAGACGGGCTTCGTTGGGCATCATAGGGGACGGTGCCCCATCTTTCTCCCAATGTGTTGGTTTGGACAAATAAATCTGATCAAATTTCAAGAGATATTTTGGCGGTGTTTCAATTTCGCCGGAGGAATGCTGGGCTTCTGCCTGCAGTTCTATGGGAGGAGAATCTTCCACGATGCGCTGAACAGACATTTGAATAAATTCGTCGAAACTATCCAACTGTTGTCGCACTAAACCTTTCTCATCAAAATACGCATTGATGACGATCCAACAGGCTTCTTGCCAGAGTTCGGACGATATTTCCTCTTGGTCTTCCTCCTCATATTGATCGTCTTCCGTGTCGTACATGGCGAAAGTAACAGTTCAAGTTTAGTGAATTGTTTTATATTCCAGCGACTATATTTTTATATTTTTCGAGGATTGCACATTTAAACATTTACCTTCACAAGCAGCTTTTTAGAACAAAATGGCGCTAATGATGAATGAATGAATGAATGAATGAGTGAAAAAGTATTCACAAGCAGCGTTGCCAATGGTAATTATTCAAAATCCCCAAAAATCAAGGTATCAATCAAGGCACCTTGACCTTTAAGGAGATCTAAGGCTCAACTCACACTGGCACAAAGTCAAAAGTTATCGATAAATTGTGAAACTCAATAATTACCCAACCCTATTGTACGAATTGCAGATCCATTCATTCACAATCAGTCATGAAAATAAAGAATAGCGTACATATTAAACTTTGTCTGTTGTTGGTAATTCTCCGAAAAATTTGAAATGGTAGAAGTTTTCCCTGGTAAAATACCCGAAAGTTTAAAAAAAATTGTTTCGATCCGGCCGGATTCGAACCGACGTCTTCTAACAAACCGTGCCAGACGCTATGCCAACTATGAAATTTCATAGATTTCTCATAGATGGCGCTACGGCTAAAAAGTCGTTGAAAACCAAATGCAAAGATCCAGCAACAAGCACATAGAAAAATTCGTGACGTTTGCTGGTTCATTCCGTGGGCTAGTTGGCATAGCGTCTGGCACAGTTTGCTAGAAGACGTCGCACAGTATTTCTACAGTAGTCTAGTACAAGCTAGCAGGACAAAATTCATGACGTAATTTCCAGAAATTAATGATAACGACTTGTAAACAACCCTTCACAAGTACCGAATTCCAAGAACTAATTAGGTCATACCTCATTACGCTACTTTATCGGGTGTCAAAAGTAAGTGATTTAGGAGTTCAATTTGCATTTATAAATCAGTTGCATTTTTAGCACACTTGTGACAACATCTCTTAAAATTGGTAGCAAAGTGAAACGTGTTTTTTGTGGTGGAATATTCTGTTGAAGGTATGTACACTATTATCACGTATTTTTTTCAAAAAAATCATGAATATTTTTGGTGCAATATGAGTTTGAATATCTTTTAAAAAATCCTGCATATTTCTCCTTAATTGTTAACTTTAAAGGACTGCGACTTTTTTTATTTAATATATAAATCTAGATACTTCTGTATATTATGTTTACAAGTTTCAGGCATAGATTCATTTATATTTCAGAGCCCGAAAAGTCCCGCAAGTAAATTATTGTAATTTTTTCAGAACGTGTCATTACTGTGACGAAATTGGAATTTTTCGAAGAATGGCTGAGACATGAGAAAAATGCAAGAAACAGTCGCATTTTTTATTATATATGTGAAAAACATAATATCACTAATGCTTCTGACGAATCACTGAAAAACCTGAATATGAAAATCTCAAGTCTTTCCGCGATACTAAATGAAAAGTGAACTTCATCTAAATCTAATAAAGAATTGTTTTTAACCAAACATAAAAATTGGTTCGAGACTTCGGGAATAGTAGTAGTAGAATAGAATAAATGTATGTACACACCAGCCGCAGCCTTCAACATCATCAGGACTTGGGTTTGTAGGCAGACCTAAAAAATCCTTTAACGACTCATCGCTGAAAACGAAGAGACGTAGAGTAGAAGATATTTTAGAAATCCGGAGTGCAAGTGAGCTAACTATAACCGCGGAATTAGCTACTAGGAAGGAAGGGCACCGAAATGTTGCTAAACAAATTAAAGAAGTCGGTGAAAGTCCAAAAAAGAATAATTAGTGTTCTGAACAAAGTAGACAATTAACTCCGGACGAAGCGTTAGCTTACTACGTAGACTCCAAATCTACTTGTCACTCATATAAGCAAACTAGGAAGTGGTCAATGAAGGCGGGACATCAAGTGTATCCATCATTCTACAGTTTAAGTAAATCCAAAGCTTCTTGTTGTCCTTCTGACGAACACATTACTGTCACTGAATCTCGAGCTGAAATTAAACTTCAGGCGATTTTAAATAAAACAGCTGAACGATTAGTTGAAGCTCAATGCGAAGTTATTAGAAGTGTGTTACCTCGTTCATCGTATACGTTGGTAACCAAATGGGGTTGTGATGGGAGGTCGGGGCATAGCACTTATAAGCAGAGGTTTGAGAACACCAGCGCTACAGACGAATTTCTGTTTGTATACTCATTTGTCCCCTTGAGACTTCATGACGGAGAAACTGTGATCTGGCAAACTCCACGACCTTCTTCAACCTTACATTGCCGTCCTCTTAGGTTTATTTTTGCCAAGGAGACAAATGAGTTTACGAAAGAAGAAACTACTAAAATTTCTTGCTTCTTCCAACATTATGTAACGTTGATGGATCTCAAATCTTCGTTACACACGACTTAACGCTTTAACGGACACACGTTCAACACAAAAGTGTTATATTTGCGGTGCTACTCCGTCTACTATAAACGAGGAGTCGAGGAACTATCCCAGCAAGAAAGAGCGCTATGAATTTGGTTTATCTACTTTACATGCATGGATCCGCACTTTTGAATGTATGCTTCACATTAGCTATCGTTTAGAAATAAAAAAGTGGCAAGTCAGAGGAGACAACGATAAAGCTGTAATAAATCACCGCTCACAAGAGATCCAAATAATGCTTAAAGATCGTATGGGTCTTATAGTGGATAAACCAAAACCTGGGTATGGCAACTCGAATGATGGAAACACAGCATATAGATTTTTTTCTAATGCTGAATTGAGTAGCGAAATCACAGCGTTAGACGTAAGTCTTATTAAAAGATTTCATATAATTTTAAGAACTTTGTCATCAGGATAGACAAATTGTTTAGAATTCGAAAAGTTTTGCGTTGAAACAAGAAAATTATACCTTGATCTGTATTCGTGGTACTCCATGCCCGTTACTGTGCATAAGATTCTTGTACACAGTACGGAAGTAATTAAATGTTGCCTTGCCTATTGGTCAACTTTCCGAAGAAGCCCAGGAAGCAAGAAATAAAGATTGCCGTAGAAATAAAGATTCCGTGAGCGACACACTAGAAAGCGGTCACGTATTGCCACGAATACAGATCTTTTGCGAATGCTCCTAATTAAGTCCGATCCTGTAATCAACACTTAGAGAGTTACCGAGAAAGAAGATTACTGCTTTGCCAGCGGAGGTTCTGCAGTTGATTATCCCACCTTCCTTACCATCCTAGTTATCATCAGTTCGCGAAATTGATGAGGAGGATTACGTGTTGTCAGACTCTACCGGATTGGAGAGTAATGATGAGGAATCATCTGAAGATGAGCATTAGATATTTTTGTAATGTCTTTACATTTAGATTAGATAAATTAGGTCTTGTTTATTATTGTAATTAATTATTATGTCTAGTTTTAATATGTAGTTGTACAGTATTTTACTATAGGTGTTTTAGTTATATAATGCACATTTATTATTATACGTGTCAATTTTGTTACTTACTACTGAAATATAATTTTTGTTGTTATTGTATTGTTCGTTGATTTAATTTAATTGTATAAATATAAAAATTGGAAATACATACCTACCGAACACGTCATAAATGTAATAAACATTTATGATTTTTTAAATTTATTTTTAATTTTTCTATGTCCTAATACTTTTATATAATAAAAAAAAATTGCACTCGTGCCTAACAGGCATGTGAAGAAGGCAGAGGCACCTAATTACAGAGCTATCACCCACATTTCACCGCGTAATTGATGACCTTGCGTGTCAGGTGGTGAGGCCATCACCGTTGTAGGGTCTACACACATTACAGTACACAGGTTTCCACTTTTTTTTTTTAGCTTAAAATAGCACAATATACCTGCAATATGCATAAACAATTAAAATAACTCAAAAAATAAAATTTGTCCCGCTAGCTTGTACTAGACGAGACACTGTGCGTCGGTTCGAATCCGGCCATATCGAGACTTTTTTTTAAATTGCTGGGAATTTTACCAGGAAGAACTTCCACTATTTGAAATTTTTCGGAAAATACCCAACAGTAGCCAAAGCTTAACATGTATGCTAAGCTTTATTTTCATCACTGATTATGAATGAATGGATTTGCAATTCGTAGAATAGGGTTGAGTAATTATCGAGTTTCACAATTCATCGATAACTTTATCGCTTATGTCAAAAATATCACATACAAGTTATTCATTCAAATTATATTAATAAAATCACCGCGGTATATTCAATTTTATCAAGAGTATGTATTTATAATAATATTTTGTACTGTATTTATTTGTTTTACTTAAATTGATTAATCGATTCTTTCTCCAAAATGTTCGACTAATGAAGTTAAGCTCACATCCCAAACTTCTTCCATCACTATTTTTCGTAACGCGATGTTTTGTTGATGAAAGATTTTGTGAATACAAAATTATGATTCATTTCGTTAATTTTTTATAGTGAATCCGACTTTTTGGTAGTAGTAACCATCAGCATTTCAAGCAGGATGGATTCCTCAAGAAGAAATAACTCTGATGATCAGCGTTGCATATTGGGCCTACAAGATTTAAAAATTTCCAACAAAGATGAAAGCGATACTGAGCAGGCGCGAGGCTCAGCGGCGCCCAATCCAGGCTCTGTAGGTAAATCACGTCCTGTGGGCGCTATAGAAAGCTTCACTCTAGATAATACCCAGCCCAATCGGCAAGACTACAGTTTTTACGAACGTTCTAATGTGATCGCTGCCTCCAAGTTTGCGACACCCAAACGTGTAGAGACAATAGCCTCTATCAATAAACGTGATATAAATACTGCTGCTTTGCCCACTAGCCCAACGAGGTCTATCGATTCTACATCTCAGAGGTCCCTCAGTTATCAAACTGAAGATTTGTACGAAATTCCTGCAAATCCTACTCAATATCCTCCACCCGTATATGAGAATATAGATTACTACGGTGAGCAGCGGCCCCCGCAGCTGCCGTATTACCATCAGCTGTATCAGCAGGGCCCGCCGGCGCCTGCCTCTGACGGTTTCTATGACACGCGCTATAGCAAGGCCCAGCCGCAAGTGCCTGTGAATTCAAAGCCTAAATTAAACCCAACAGTTTACGAAAATATGTACTGTTCAGACAGTGATAAGAAGAATGAATATAAAGTACAACAAAACCATGATCAACGCTTCTTACAGCAGGGATCAGTTCCTGGACCTCAAGTACCTAATACGAGCACCAGTAGAAGCATTTCACAGATGTTGAATGATAAAACAAAGACTGATAAAGCTCCTCCACCACCTCCATACAGTTCTACACAGGAGAATCCAAGTAGTGACTACACAGTTATGAAATCAGCTCCTCCTAAATACACTGATGTCAGTCTTATGTTGAAAAATAATAATACAGTAACATTTGATAACAAAGTGTCAGCTGTCCCCTCTACGGCTATATATGCATCAATTGCTCCAAGTGCTCAGAGGCCTAAGGCAAATATAGCTACCGAAGTGCAAGCTGCTACATCTAGCCCTAAGTTCTTCCACCCTAAACCAAACATTGGTAACAATATTGCAAAAGACAAACCACCTTCTATGAATGGAGGGTTTAATGCAAAACCTGCAGTGGGAAGCAGAATGCATATTGTGGAGGACACAAATGGCTCTGATTATGTTTGCATGACTGGAGGATCTTCAGTGGCAACTTTAGCGGCCACCAACAGAGACAATGTTTCCCTGGCATCGGAATCTATAAATTCAAAGAATTTGGTATCTGGATTGAGTTCACTATCAATTTCTCATTCACCTGCTCAGTCTCCAGCTCCAAGCCCTACACCCAGTTCAGTCTCTCAAGTGTCTGGAGGCTCTCGTGGCTCAGGTGGGCGTGGGAAAAGCCTCCTTCCATATAGCATAACTCCTCCCAGACCAACAGGGCCAAGTGAGGCACAACGCAAAATTGAGGAACTTACCAGGCAACTTGAGGAAGAAATGGAGAGACAAGATGAAGAGGGAGAATACTTTGGTGAGATCATTCGTTAAATAATATGTGTGAACTAATTCCATTTTCGGTATAGTATTAGAACATTACTATAGGCATACTCTTGAAATTGAGATCATTTGCCTACAGGTTAGCAATTACAGTCACACCTAAAGGGATTGATTGCCAATCTCTGTTTAAACAAAACAATATTCTATAGAATCCACATTAAGGCAACCCGTTCATCTTGACTCATTTTCGCAGTTGAGTAAAGTTTGACCAAACTTCACTTTGTATCAAAGTACTGTGGCACTAAACAAATTGACTTTTGGACAATATGTCAATGAACTATGATGTGCTACATAGCTATGAATCACAAGCTTCTGCATAGGAAGTCTTAGACTGAGATGATCTCTATTGAAACAATTTACAGTTTTGTTAAATGAAAATGAAATTTAATATTTGCATATTGTGTTTATAGGAATATGTCACACATGTGGTACTGGTGTGACAGGTGCTGGACAGGCATGTCAGGCTATGGGTAATCTGTACCACACCAATTGTTTCATTTGCTGCTCCTGTGGCCGAGCATTGAGGGGCAAAGCGTTTTATAATGTGCATGGGAAGGTGTATTGTGAAGAGGATTACTTGGTCAGTACTCATTACTACTAGCTAAACTTACTAAAGGACTGAAAAATGTTCCGTTTAAACCCTGCCTTCTGACGTTATACTTAAGTGTCATCAGTAAGAGATTTTATAAATTTCACAACTCAAAAATCTAAATCTAAACTAATTCTAAGTTATGATTCTACTTGATTACCACCCAAAAATACTTAGGTACAGATGGCAGCACATCAAGACTACATGTGACGGATCTTGTTCCTGGCCGCGATATTTGAACAAAAGTGTATAGTTTGATGTGCTGTTGACTGTATAATTGCATAAGTGAATATCAAGACGGATAATTTAAAGCTCTGTTACTTAAATCTAGGTCAACACTTGTTTGCGTAATGGTGCAGTTTGATTGAGTAATGATTTTTTATTAATTGCTTATTAAATATATTTGTATCATTTACAGTATTCTGGCTTCCAACAAACTGCAGAGAAATGCGCTATTTGTGGTCATCTCATCATGGAGATGGTGAGTTTAAAAATAATTAAATAACACTAAGAAGAATAACATAGTTGGCTAAATATTTCTTTACTTTTTAAAAAAGTTTGGAACAGTAGGAGGTGCTGAAGTCCACTTAATTTTTTTTTCTTACAAAAGTAACATATCTCTTGCCGTTGTAAACCAATTTGATGATACACCTTCGGAACACTTTCATATTTTACAACAGCATGTACTGATTTGTGGTTTTAATATGTATGTTATTGTTTTAACTTTCAGATCCTGCAAGCAATGGGAAAGTCATATCACCCTGGTTGCTTTAGATGCTGCATATGTAATGAGTGTTTAGATGGAGTGCCATTTACAGTGGATGTAGACAACAAAATCTACTGTGTCAATGACTATCACCGCATGTTCGCGCCTAAGTGCGCTAGTTGTGGTAAAGGTAAGTGAATTATCTGTTTGAGACAGTGTAGGACTTGTTAAATAGTTCACAAATGAGTATTATTAAAAGTTCGATTAAAACGTATCTTGACATTGAGATACATATCATTGTACTAAGCAGATGCTGTTATAACAAAAAAAATAACATTAGTAATTTTTATGAAAACTCAACTAATATGGATGCATTAGTCACTCACTATAGCCTTGTTAGTCGGTCCAAGCATGGGTGTGTTAAACTGCATTTTAACCATTATACAATTAAATTTGGTGTGTGTATATATTTTAAATTTTATTAATATAAAGCACATTTCAATTTCCAATTGTAATCAAAATACCTCTCTAATGTTATAGGAATAACTCCAGTGGAGGGTACTGACGAGACAGTGCGCGTGGTATCGATGGACCGCGACTTTCATGTCGACTGCTACATGTGCTGCGTGTGCGGCATGCAACTCACAGACGAGCCCGACAAGCGCTGCTATCCTCTTGCTGGTAAGTCTCCTAACAGCTTTACTCATACTGGGCATAAAATATGCTCTCACACATCATCTTACGCAAAATACCTTTATCCTCAATTTGAATTTTCATTTTGTGATGGGACAGTCTATCGTACCTTCTAAACACCGAAATGACTAATTCTAAAATGTTGCGACGAGAACCAACTAATTTCTTAATTTGCAATCAGATCTTAGCTAGTGATTCTCGAAACTGAGGAATGGTGTCTCTGGAATAAGCTTATACGTGACTAGTCAAATTTCTAAAACTACCATGACCCATATACCATGACACTCTAATAAGGGACACTCAACCTTCTACGCGTGTGTGGTGCTAGAAGTGGCATAAATTAGATAGTTATATATAAGAATGGTATGCGATGAACAACATCTTTACCTAATAATTCTTATCAAACAACTGATGGATCATATATTTTACAGGGAAGCTGATGTGCCGCGCATGTCATTTGGCTACAATAGGAGCCACTACTGGACCAGGCCTGCCACCAGCGCCGCATCTCTCACCTGCCTCCTACCAATACATGGGTTAAACCATCCCCTTAACTTATCTCGGGAGGTAACTAAAGGCATATGCTATTTCACAAGTCTTGTTGACGTGACATAATCAAGATTTTAGAATGACATTAGATTAGGCTTGGGTAAAGCCCTAGATAGAATTGTGACGCCGTGAATAATTTGTGTAGCTTTAACAATATCACAGCTGTTTTGTTGTGCATGTTAATTAATATTTATCAGTAAATTGTGCATAATGACAGTTTATTCATCATCCTTTATAATAGTATTAATTATTGTCTATGAATTAGGTAAGAATAGAAAATGGCACAAGGCAAATATTAAGTGTTGTTTGATACAAGTTCCATATATTTGCGCTTTACTAAATAAGGATAATTAAACTAAGCCAACATGTATACATGCTACAGTTAGTATATATATATAGTTCAACGGAATGACGTTATAGTTCAACTTAGTGGAATAGAGGAATTAAAGCTATGTGGTTTGATTGAAACTAATAGTTATGCCTATTATGTATTTGTGATATTGATAATTGATATTACCACATAGTAGGTGTTTTTTGCTGTGAGTAATTGGGAAAGCATATACACATCAATTTTATAAATAACAACTTTAATTTCAATGTGCTACATTCATATGAACATGTTCTTGTAATAAAAAATCTTTTATAAAAAAACATTATATCACAATATTTGTGTTATTTATGTAGCTGTCAATGTCACGTTAAAGCTAAATAACAATTTGTTAATACTTTGTCAGGGTTAGATTGGCGTGCCTTTCAGCTGGCTAAATGCGTATGGTGAAAGAGAGGTCAGTGGCACTGTCTTTCCAACTTATTGTTGCTATTTAAGTCACCATTTCTCTCAATGATAAGTTTTACTGTTTAAGCTACTGTTTCTGCTAATTATCTATCATAACTTTGAGAGGTTTTTGAAACAGTGGTAGGTCCAGCACCTTACACAGTTGGCCTGCTGATTTAATGCATTTACTTATTTAATATATACTTCACTTAACAGCAACCAGGCGTGCTGTTTATAAAATTTTAGGACACAAAATAAATATTAAAACTAAATACATTAATGTGTTTAAAGATGGCCTAACAATCATTACCTTACAATCCGTTTCTTTTAGTTGTTCTCATTTTTAAATAACTAAGTTATTATATAGCAATACTTTGGGCCATTGGAAATATAAAAAAAATAATTTTTAATCTATTGTTTAGTGCACAAGAAAATTGACATTTCCATTAGAATTGAATAAATTGTATTTTACAAGTTGTTAAAGATTGATGTGACAAATTACAAAAATATGCAATAACCAACATTCCAGTTATGTGCTGTTTTGTTGTGTACTTAACAATGTTAGTTTTAAATGTTGTTTTTATATCTGTACATTTTGATAACAAAAATGTGATTATATTTTTACTTAGGGTTTTTTATAAACTGATTTTTTAAAGGATAATTTTTATATATAAAATATTTTTAAAACATTAAAAACTGTTCTAAATTTACAATGTCCTTTATTTCACAGAATGGGTTGGCACATGCACATTAAGTTCATCAACATTTATTTTTCATGGTCATTCTCAGATTTTTTTTTGTTTTTAGTGTTTTTCATTTCTGTCTTATACCTTCTCAAGTCATCCATAATTTGTGTTCTTTTTTCCTTCATTTGCGTTTGGTAATGCTGTTTACTTTCCATAAACTGGTCTTGTTTTTGTTGAATCATTTCTTTGATGCGCTCTCTAGATGGTACTGGTTTAATCCAACCCATAGCAGTAAGTCTTTTGATTGCATAGGTGGTTCCACCTAAAAATTTAAGAGAATACATAACATTTTTCTCTTTGTGTAGCTAAAAAATGTAAAACATTGATTCTTACCAATGGTAACAGCATATCTAAAAGGTGTGACTACTTTATACAGAGCAAATGCAAGTGCAACATAGCCTGCACTAGACTCTCTGAACGGCTTTAACAGTTGTTCACTTAAACCTAGTGATTCCAAAATAGTCAGCACATCCACACCACTGCAAAGAAATTAAGGATGATAATTTTTTAGATTTCTAAAATAACAATAAATTTGTTAATATAAATGAGTAATATTTGGTAATAATTTGTTATACAGGTGATAAAAAAATCACTCCATTTTTCCTGTGCGTAAGATTCAGTAATACAGCGAATAAGTGGTAAACCAATGGCTTCTTGTCAAGGGTCAGTTTGCATTATCAATGTACATGCACGGAGATGGTAGGCAGTGAATACCCATAGAAGATGAAATGGAGTGTGTGACAAATTTTAACAAGTGAGTATAAAGACCAGTATAGGGTGTAGCGGACCAGTACCTTGGCCTCTCAGGTTGTCACCTGGTGTGATTTTATTTTGTGAGGTGAATGAAGTTAAACGCCATGTGTATGTCAATAAAGCTCAAAGCCGTGACAAACTAAAAACAAATGTCATTGATGCAAATAAAGTTTTAAAAAGCGTCCTTGTAGTGCTTCAAAAATTATGGAGGAACATTATTTATATATAACATTATAATAAAGGGTTAGCAATTACCCCTTCTTACCGGTAATCGAATCCAGGATCTCCTCACCGAGATAACCGTTTGGCCACCAAGGTCAATAAACTCATATGTTGAGTTGGCCATTGTGGTTGCTATGGTAGTAGCATCTATTATTTGTCTGATGTCAATATTATTCACAATTTCTCAAAAACTTTAAGACATCATATATTTGTCAAGTATTTGAAAAAAAGAACTGAACATGTATTTTTTATTTCTATTATACAGTATGGTTCTTTAAAACGGTCAGTGGTTTTTTTATCACCCTGTATAAGTATATAATTAAAACAATTCTCTTGGTACTTACCTTCTCACTAAATAATAGGCACCACCAAACCAAATAGCTGATGTAACCATGTGGACGGGTAGTACCACATACCAGTAATTTTTATACATTTCCTTGAGTTGTTGAACAAGGCCTTTCTTCTTCGGGGGCTCTTGTTCATTGTGGGCTTGTGATGAACATTGCCTTAAAAACCCTGGCGAGAAGCACGTTTGTGGCACAGCCAGTGACCTACAGATGGTTCGTTGGTTGGTGCCAAACCTCTTAGATTTTAATGTAACTGGAAAGTGTCTCTCAACATTATATACCGATTTGGTTATGTTGCGAAAGAGTTGACAATTTGTATATAAAGCTCTAGAAGTAAGCGCCATGACAATATTTTTAGACTAATCTACGATAAACACATTTTGAATTATACCTATTATTTTTACAAGCACAACATTTTTGCGGAAAATAAGAAACTATAGAGAAAAATGTGTGACATAAAGATTTTTTGGAACGCTGGGTTCTTGAATTTATCACAGAGAGAATACTCCATAGATAGTTTCGTTCATAGATTTAGTATATGGTTTCGTATACCAAAGCTATGGTTTATAGGATTATTACTAGGATGGAAAAAAATAAAGATTATTGTTATAGATAGCTTTTAAAGGAATATTGTCTTTTCTTGTTTTTGTTATCGTTGAACACTAATATGTTTTAAAAAAGCGACATGTTTTGACATTCTCATACACCTTTGCAAATTATGGTGAATTATAATCCACTGAAGACGAGGCGTTATGGCCTGTGACCCTGGCCCAGGCCGACTTTTTTGGACGAACAGAACAAGTCATTTATTATCAATTAGCGCTATTTGCGATAG